GGCACATTTTACCCCAACGAGACGGGACTGATGAAGGCGAAGCCACGTCTCCGGCACCTGATGCCGTCGGTTTCAGTAGTTTGGCGCAAGTGGCTCGATTTAATCCCCCTCATCGACCCGCCTTGCCTATGACCTAGTTTAACCTGCAGCTAGGCTGCTTTGTTATTCACGTCACTTTACGGCATCTAGAATGGAGTGTCGGCAAACATGTATTCGTCTCGACCAGATGATTTCCGACAGCGTCAAAATAGGGTGGGTGTAAAGGTGTAAATACGCACAATACATTGTGACATTGCGCAATTACTGACAGTTAACGTCCGCCAAGCTTCAGACAGTGCCACCAAACCTTATTTACACCACTTTGTGAAATTGGACGATGCTCTGCCTGCCTCAACTCGACAACCAAACCCCCAGGCGGCTCGGCCACGACCCAAGACCCGGTCATCCACCGCAGCGCCCGACAAAACGCACTGGCAGCCGTCAGCGGGCCTTGAACGGGTGCAGCCAACCAGCGGCCTTGACAGAGATGGGCGAGCGGGCGAGCGGGCGAGCGGCGCGCTGCCAACACACAGCCGCCGCACGCACAGTCCGATCGGGGGGGGAGGGGGGAGGGGCTGCATGACCACAAACGGCCCGAGCGACGGATCGCGGTGCAGATATCACACACACATACACACATACATACGGTAGCGTGACCGGTTTACGTTCGAGTGCACGGCGATGGCACGCCGTTGGGTGGTTTGGCCAGCAAGAATTAATTATAAAAACAGGCCAGCTGATCCCTAACAGTCATCTGTCATGGAACTTTCAATACTAAGGGTAACGACTACGAGCTGTGTTCGCAAATCAACTGACAAACGACGAGTAGCGCAGCTAAAAAAAAAAAAAAAATGGAACCTTCGGATTACTGATGAACCCGCACATTTTCCCAATGTATGTCCCACGGCAGCAGGTAAGCAATAACCATTTGGGTACCAGACTCTTAGCGATATCTAGGTTTTATGATTTTGTCATCACCTTCGCCCGAATATAACGAGGGCGCTTGGACTTTGTCAATAAAAAAGTACCGGCACCGCTTGATGTCCTATTTCTTGATTTCCAAATTAGTCATCAGATATCGATAGGTATCAGAAGTCAGGCATCGAGGCATCACATAATAAACCATATTTTCCTTCCCCATGAATGTAACTATTAACCCACATATTTAGAAACCATAATACTGACAGTAATAAAGTGCACATAGGAGATTCACAAAATAAAATAGTGGAAAATTTGATGAAAGCTCAGATTTACCTTGAGCCGCTGGCCAACAGGATCAAAAAGTAGGCGGATGCCATCATTGGTCATGTTGATGACCAAATCATGATCCAGCGGGTTCTGAAACAGGAACGGTATGTTAACCCACGCACTTGTAGGGGGGGGGGGGGCGGACTCCATCGGTTTTTCGCGAATAACTCGCGCAAAAAGCGGCCGATCGCGACGAAACTTACAGCACCATCGACTTAATCAATTTTACACTCAGAATTGCATGACCCTGACCCAAATGACCTTTCACCTGTGACCTTTTTCTCGAGACCATGTTAGGCCAGAATCGCGATTCCGCGTACATGTCGGCTCATTATCCGTGCGTTTGTAGTCTTTTTGAGGTGTTCGGCGTTCAAACATGTGAAATGATGTTGGGTTGGTCCCATGCGTTATGGTGGGTGTCAAGGTCACGTGATGGTCAGGTCAGGTCAATGACCTTTGATGACCTTGATTCACTTTTTTTATTTCTACATGTTTCTTGGCTAGTTTTTGGAGATTATTTCGAACCTCGCAACTATTTGAACATTTACAAAGCACCTAGCTTTGGTGCCTTCTTAACATGTTACGAAGCTGTCAGTGGTAGTTGATACCTATTATGAATACCTGGCAGGACCTCTACTGGTTGACCTGACCTGAGCTGACCTGACCAGACATGGCCTAAATGCATAAAGACATCATCTGTGTTCAAACCTAACATGAAATTCGTGATCAGCACTCCGAAAAACCCCTTCACAACCTCACTTTAAGAAGTTCTGACAGACTCCGATTTTCCCGACTTTTGGGTCATTGACCTGTCCTGGAAGGTCAACCAATGACCTAGGACCTTATAATTGGGTATCATCGGCTTCCTCTCGTCACGATCAGCACGCTAATTTTTTTCCGCGAAGCTCTAGCTCGATCAGGGGCGAAACGGCAAGGGGGGGGATCCAACGGACCCCTATACGTTTGCGGCCGTCAAAACAGCAATACGGGCGAGGGTCAAAATAAAAACATTGTTGACAGGCTCCTTATCCAATAACCACAATAGAAACTTGCGTTTCCACTGATACACACACCCATTCATTTGTAACACCTGTACACTAACACAGCTACAGCTAATTTTTTGGTCAAAATTTTGTTGGAATAGGGGAACACCATGGAACACTGTCCTTTATTATCTATTCATACCAAGCAATCACATGGAATTGAGGAGACTCATACTTACTGTATCACTGTAGCTTATGTGAACATCCCTTATCACTCCAACCTGTTGCTGAATAATGTTAACAGCTTGTGAGAAGTGCATACCTGTAAGAAAAGGAGCACATTTTAATTAGCTTCATCCCTAGTGTATCCCTACACTATAAGCATTGGTTCACTTGGTTCATCCCTCAACATTTTTTCTTTGCTTGTTAATAGAAAAAAAGTAATTTATGTTTCTGACACAAAGTAAGGCTTTGTTATCTTATCATATGGATAATTAGAAAGTAGTCAACTGAAACATTACATAATCAAGTAACTTTATATGTTCTTTTTATAGAATGACAGCTGTACACTGTACAGCCTCTTTTCAAAGCTTGTAATCAGGGTCATTTCAAGTTGGGAGTCACATTCCACTACTGCTTGTTCAAATCAGTACCAGAATTTCTACCTGTATCTATGTCTCCGTTGGACAATATTTCTATGATGAAAAAATTAAAACTGTTTCTTGTGACTACTGGCATGCAGTGTGTCAAGTTTTTACAAGTCATTACTATTAAAACAGTTTTATGGGAGAAATGAGGCTATATCTGCAGCTACAGGTTGCAGCTGACCATAGCTTCTTTCATGAGCTAATTTGGAGCATATTTATCGAATTATGCTTACATTCTGAAATCAACTCTAAAAGCAAACTAATGACAAAGATCAACATTGAGAAACTGAAGCATATTATTTAGGCTTGCATGCACTTTCTCTGCTAACATCAAGGATGAATGCCAGGATTTGTCTACTTCTGTAACTTCTGCAATTTGTGCACAATCAATAAAGATAAACTTACAGATTATGCTATCTTGATCTAGCCTGAGCCTAAGTCAAAGTCAAGTTAGTCAAGATAAATTTGCAAATATATTTTTTGGGGACTGGTTTAAAGCACTGAACCAAGCAAACCATCAAAGCTAAGCACAAAAAAGTGAGAACCTCCACAGCTTGATTAATGTTATGCCACACCAACACAAGTTAAGTGCTTTGGTTGTTTATTGGAGCTTTAGGGCGCGCCGACTACTGGGGTCATTTTGCGCCCCTATACTTTATGCTGTGGTTGTCTTTGCTCCCAAAGATTGAGCAATGTCAATCTCTATCAATAGAAGCTGTGTTATAATAGAAACAAATGATAGGCATTCCTAAGCATCCAGCCTTATCAACCCCGCCTTGTCATTGTCATGCATGGCTCACGAGTCCCAGGCTCAAAAACCGTGGTGACAGGCTTGAGCTGTGGCTGAACAAGGGTGGAACTTGTCTATTTCATATCCTAATCTAAGAAGCAGATAAACCATAATAAGTAACGAGCACAGTAGGAACATGAAAAATATGTGCATTGACTTACCCAGAATGAACTCCCATTGTTCATGCGACAAACTGCTCTCAGGGACCACTTCCAAGTCAAGCATTCTTGAATAATTAATGCACAAGAATGTTTGATACACAAATAAGCAATGAAACTATAAGTATGCTTCAGAAATATGTTCTCACGCAGCAAAAATCGCACTACCCTTTGTCCCGTAGCCTTCAACTTCCAGTGATCCCAAAATGAAAACAAAACAAAGTAGTCCGTTGTGATAGTGGTTGTGATGCGTCGTTTGCTGTCAAGGGCATTTTCTGTTGATGACGTCATTGCAATAATAATATAATTTTTCACACCAAATTGATCAATATCTGTAAATAAAAATACCTTTTTGCCATTTTTTTTGTTTCAAAACATATCAGTTGTTAATATATGAAAATACAACTTTTTTTACTAAATGAGCTCATCAAAATCAAAGATATCCAAAGAAGCATGAGGTAAATAAGCCAAGAGGGTGCCTGAGGGCATCAGATGTTTCCTTGACCAATCAGCTGTTTTGTTATCGTCACCTCTGCCCGACGGCCCGACCAAGAATCTGGGCCCGACCCAGAGTAGGTATATAGTGATAGGCCCGACCTGCCCTAGTCCAAAGCATAGCCCAAAGGGCATTCAGATGAAGACCTTCGCGTGTACTGAGAATCGGAGACGAAGGAGACCAAGAAGCAACAGACAAAGGCAAAGATATTTCCAAGTAGCTCCACCATTGTTTTTTTTGCATGGAGAGGCTCAAAGGAAGGCACGCCCTCGGTTTGCTCCGGGAACCATACTCTGCCCATTGCCCATTACCCCCATGAATCGGCCGGGGAAGGGGCGGGAGCAAGATGAGATGAGCTGAGGGGCTCAAGGTTCCCCGATCCTCCGATGAGGTTAGAACCTACCCCTTTATAACATTTGGCCTTCAACGTTTCGTCTTTTCTATCTTCGGCCTTCAGCTCGCTCCGCACCCCCTCATAGAGATCTCTAGTCTCTACACAAATTTACTGAAATTACATGAAATCCATAATATATCGATTTGCTGGTAACGTCTCTTTGCTCTATGACCCCTTGTCCAACTATGGCGCCTCTCAGACATTCCCTTCCTCTCGTTTTCCCTTGCGTTTTCCCACCGAACTCTATAATGCGTTTTCCGCGTTTTCCCCCGTGTTGTACACACAGAAGAGTGCGTTTATTCCAATTTTATTCCATGACTTATAAGATATAAGACAATAGAATTGTTCGGGCTGCGAGTTAGCGTCGATAATAATCTCCCAACATGTATTTCTAGACCTAACTTCAGGTAACTGTCAGTTTAGTAATTAATTCGTTAGACGAGTCACCTCAAATCGCCACGACCACCAAAAATTGAAACTTTAATTAATTTGAACTTGGCCAGGGCAGACCAAGTCCAAGACCAAGACAGGTAACAGATTGCTTGTGTTAGATAAGCGGACCAGCTAAGTTCAGGGTAAGCTTTGTTTTTTACAAGATAGAGAGGGTAAGCTTTATTTTTTACAAGATAGAGAAAACAATATGGATTGGATGTGCTTAGGTATATCTTGTTCTGGTCCCTCCGTATCAATACGTCACTTGGCAAGAACATGGCTTGAATTAAAATAACACATCTGATATTTAATGCAACATTAATTTTATGACATTTATCAAAATTGTAGAAAAATTGGTCTTATTATTATTTATGCTTCATTTAGCACACGCTAATCGTTTGAAATTCTGGGTGTCTTTACATCCATAATCCATATCAATATGTTTAGTTTCTGTCAAACAGATATGCATTTGCTGGGATTATGAATGAAAATGGAAGTAAGGCTAGTTGTCTTCTAGTATTCTTTCCAAAGCTTTACAATGAAAATTTACGTACCTATCTATTAAATTTCTTAGCTAAAAAAAGCCTAGTTTTGTGAAACCAACTCTGAACATGAAATGAATGCAGCTCAGTAGATAATGGGTAATTTCTTGTTATTATTTATTTGCTCAATAAATTGCTTAAAAGTCAAAACTATTAGTTTGTGCATCTACACAATAAAATATTGATATTTATTCAGTTGCTTATTCAATGCTCATCATAAATACCTACTCTTTTCTTTGGTCTCACAGAATGTCAAAAATGCATTAATACTCATACCTTATGCCTACTGTTTCAAACAAAATGCACATGTTTAAGGTGATACCTATGGTATTTATAAATGATTATAGATGCCTAGTCAATTTAAGAACCTCTTGACCCATAAAAAATAGATTTTAGAGCCAAGCTTTTGTTTTGAGAAGTTTGAAACCATATTAGGTAACTTTTGGATATTATTATAAAATTTTGTGTCAGACATATCTGAGTTTGGTCCCAGGGTACACACCTTGTTCCAATAAATTGTATATGCAGTACATCAATAGGAAACCTGATGATGTTTTTAATGCATGAAATATAAGTCAAATTAGTTTGTGTTTTTATTGAATAATTTTGCACCAGCAGCCAGCTGGTGTATAATTTTGCTTTACTATGCATACCTATTTATAAAAAGTTGGAAGGTTTCTTTCTTGGTCTTCACACGTAACTTATATACATATTTTTCTTTACCTGCCCTTCCCCTGCATGAAATGATAATGACAAGATTTTAATCATAGGATCTATCTTTGTGCTTGATGCACTTATGTCAATAAATTGAATGCTGTTTTAGATGTTCATTGAAGATTGTAATAGAAAACTGACATGTGTTATGTAATGGGCAGCTCAGTTCAGTTGTGTTCACTCCCCGCCCTCCCATTTTCAGGCCCCTATCCACTGCAGGAGCCATGCAGGTGTGAGGCTTTGGTAGCCACCAGCCCAGTCTGCCGCTCTCTGCCAGCCGCGAGCAGGTCTATCTCGCTCTCCCCGCTGCCGTGATGGACACTTCCGTGGCGTGGTTGCTGCCCGAGCAGCGTGGCCCGGCCAGCGACCTGTTCTCGCGCCTCTGGGCCTCCCAGGAGGGACCCAAGCCGCCGCTGGGCGGTCGGCAGCTGCGGGTGCCCGATCTGATCGACCAGCACGTGCCGGCCGACTACCCGGCGGCGGCCGAGGCGGCGCCGGTGCCGTCCAGCCGCCGCCCGCCGGCGCCGCTGCCGCCGCAGCCGAACGGCGCGCCGCGCGACCGCTCCTGTACCGTCGAGCTGGACCTGCACAGGAACGAGCTGGTGGGCCGGCACGGCGGCACGCCCTGGATGGTGCCGGGCAAACAGTACAGCACCGGCGTGAACGGGTGAGCAGGACGTCCGCCGCAGCGGCCGCGGAGAGGTGGCAGAGCTTTTAGATATTGTGAGATATTAAAGCTGATTCATGCCATGTTGTAACTTAGAGCTTATGGTGACTGACTTCAGTTGTGTACCAGTGTACTTAATGAACCAGTGTTCCAAAATTTGTTGTTTTGGGTGGGAAACGACATCCAAATGAATATCATTTCACACTCTCACCTCCAATTTTGAAGAGCAATTTTCCACTCCCAATATTACGAAGAAAAAGCATTAGCGTGGATAATCGTTGTACATCTCATATTTTATCACGCATGGATAAAAATTAATGCTATCGATCTTTTCCCATCTTTCTGGGCCTCACCTTGGCCAGCAATTTTCCACTCTTATCCCCATTTTTGGAAAGCAATTTCCCCTCTGACACCCAAGCCAAAATGCAATTTTGGGACACTGTAATGAACCCAGCTTATATTGTTCGATCAATGCCCATCCATTCGACATGGGTTGTGTTCCCATTCCTCCGCTGACATATTGTTGATCACGGCACCTCCGCAGCCTCCATGAAGAGATTGAAGATTTCTATATCTACATGTCACCATCTCGAGAGGAGCACGCTATGCGAGAGGGCGTCTACGCCAAAATTCGGCGGGTGATCCTGTCCCTGTGGGAAACGGCCGGGGTTTTCATCTTCGGCAGCTTCGAGACTGGTCTCTATCTTCCTACCAGGTATTGAAAACGAGCTTGTGGAGGTTGTTTCAATGTCAATCTTTCCAGCCCTTATTTTTGATTGCATATGTTTAAGCTATCGTGGCTCAGCGCCTCTTCATTGATGGATAATACCTAGGCGTCCGACTGTCGAGATCGCATCCCGCATGGTAGCATTATCACCATTGAAACAAAAACAGAAACGATGTTTCCTCGCCTATGATATTAAAAAACTTCGTTTTACTTTATAAACACCGTCTTATTTGTTAAATAATGACCTCCGATATGTTGAGTAGTAAAGTAATCTTGATGTTGACAATCATGACTCGATTTTAGGAAACACCCTGTGGTTTTTTGGGGCGATACTCGCACGATACTTTTACCCTTTTACGATATAGTCAAGTTATCAATGAACATTGAATGTCTGGTGTCTGCGTGTCAAATATGCATTTTATTTTCGCTACACATAATGTGGTATTTACGAAATGCCCTTTGTTTCAGTGACATCGACATTGTCGTCATGGGAAGCTGGGAAAAGTCCCTGGAGATGCTGAAAGAGGCCCTGATACAGGCCGACATTTGCGAGCCCAGCTCCATCAAAGTGCTCGACAAAGCCGCTGTGAGTTGATCCTGCTGAATAAACTGACTCCTATTTCTTGCTTGATAGCTGTGTCGGTCGCTCTAGTTACGCTGAATTGTTTTTAGTTTCTAAAGAGTGCACTGCTAACACTGATCGCGTGACTGTGGACAGGTTCCCATCATCAAGCTGACGGACCGGCTGACCGATGTCAAGGTCGACATCAGCTTCAACATGAAGAACGGCCCGCTGTCTGCGCACACCATTAAACAGTACCAGGAGGAGTACCCGCAGATGCCCAAACTGGTGATCGCGCTGAAGCAGTTCCTACTGCAGCGCGAGCTGAACGAGGTCTTCACGGGTGGCATCAGCTCCTACAGCCTCATCCTGATGACGGTCGGCTTCCTTCAGGTAAGACAGTCGGATACACGGTCCTGAGAGGTGTGGTGGTAAAAATGTAATTTGGAGTCGTGATCTGATGCAAGCTCAGACCTTTTGTACGAGTTTAGAGCTGCTGACATTGGCACCAAGAGCCTGCTTAGTTGGTCTTTTGCTTCAATGGCGTAATATGGCGTACGTTGAGTGCATGCCCGATGGTATGATTGCGCTAAGATAGCCGGTGTGCTTTAACCGTTCGAAAACAAGGTTGCAGTCTTCCCGTTCTTTTCAGGATCACGAGAGACAGATGCCGCCGTATGCCGTTCGGAACCTTGGGGTCTTGTTAATTGAGTTTTTCGAGCTATACGGAATCAAGTTTAACTACTTGAAGACCTGCATCAAAGTGAAGGACCGTGGCTACGCCCCGAGGAGTGAGGTGAGCCGAGCATAAAACTCCGTTATCGTCTTGTCAGTCTTACACAGGTGGCTTTGATGGAATCCATTGATCGTTGTAACGAAGTGAGATGAAATTTGACAATGATGAGCTTGGTAGTGTGTTGGATATCCTATTCATCGTCTCACCGGTTTATGTGATAAACTTATAAGCATGTAATGTGTCACGCCTTTTTCATCTTATTTTTATTTTGGAGTTCTGCACAGGCCACAGGTAAAATTGTTCTTTTTCGCTTGCCCTGAAAAAAATCCCTGAAAAACTTTTCCGTGACCACCCTTTTCCGTACCCCACCGTGTGCCTCCTCAGGTGGAGGAGCAGTTCGCCGCCCACTCGGCGCACAACTCGCCCCTCTGTATAGAGGACCCTCACAACGCAACCAACGACATCGGCCGCTCCTCCTACAACATGATGAAGGTCAAGGACGCCTTCAAGTACGCCTACCAGCGGCTCTCGAGTGCCGTTCTCAGTCCGGGTTCCGCTGCGGACCCCAACAAAAACAGGTGGGTACCATGATAACGCATTCAGATAATGTTGCATCAGGTGAAGTGTCAAGGAGTTATCAGGACATGCTTAAAATAACACTGATCAGACTGAGGCTGGTTTTATCGATTTTTCATATTTGCAATGTGTGAATATATCACCATAATATGGTGATAATACAGCTACAGCATGCCATGATATTATCATGTCGTGCTGTAGCTGCCATGTGCGTACGTTGCCCAGTTCACCATATCCTCGCTTCACCATGCCATACCACCATACCACTATATCCGTAAACGCCCTCTCGGAGTGTCGCTCCTCTGACCCCGGCCCCGTTTACCTGCCGGCAGCATCCTCGGTCGTGTGATTCAGGTCACTGACCGGGTCGTCGACTACCGGTGCAGCATCCGCGAACGGTTCCCGGTGGCGGCCCCGCGACCGTCACCGCCCAGAGCGCCGAGCTCCAGCCCCCACTCGTCCACGTCGCCGATGTCGTCGGGAACTTCAGACACGTCGGTGGGTTCACGGGGGGGGGGGGGGCTGGATAATGTGGCATGTGGAGGTTTGCTAACAGTTTGAATGTTGGAGAGATTTTGAATTTTTTGTCGGTATGGGTTAGTGTTTTTGTGTCTTTGTGAGTAGCGTTAACATGTTTGTTATAACATTAATCGGTCCGCTAAGCTGAAATTTTCCCCGGACAACTGCGGCTGGCCGAATTATGTCTTGGGCAATTATGGTATCACGCCCATGTTACTGACTCCTTAAAGAAAGTCAGATAAAATCGGTAAATCCTAGCTTAAAATCCTCTGAGTGTTTTTCAGCAATTATTTTTATTTTGCCTGTCAACTGAAATGCCAGCATAGCCAAGGCAAACTGATATTCGCTTGCCGTTTTGATCTTAATGTGCGAACAAAATCGCAATAGTTCCGTTATTAAAATCCAAGTAAAGCCATTGCGTCTCCTAAGCCTAAACATAGCTCAATAATTTGCGTAACCATGCACGTGGCGAATGTGCCCATAGGCCATAACATAACACTGTTATGGTTTTTATTGTGACGTTCTCTTTAACTCCCCATATGTAGTGTGCGATGTGTTGAAGAAGCTTCCGCCTCATTTGTCCCGCTTTGATTAGGCATTCGGCGCTATAGTCTTATGACTGACATGTAGTGAATGTGGTTACTTGTCAGCTGCGAGAGTGCACAAATGTAACGTATTTATTATGCTATCAACCGCTGACGAGAACATTAACGTACTTTTTCACAAGGTGTGTAACCATCACAAGTTCCATTTGCTGTTTTATCTTTCGTCTTAATCAGTCATTTTTAATCAGTCACTGTGGATCACTCGTGAGTGGTTATATTTCCATATCGCCTCGCACCTGGCCGGTAGCCTAGTGTGCACTAACGCGCCGTTCCGCGGCCGGCCGCCGCTCTCGTCCGTCGGCCCTGACAGGACCAGGACGCCGAGAGCTGCGAGCCGGGCCCGGCCGGCCGGCCCTCCCTCACCCGGGACGCGTCGCCGGCCAACTCGGTCTCCACGGCCGGGACCTCGTCCAGCTCGAGCTCGGCCCGGTCGGCGCCGCGCGCCGGCACCGGCGGCCCGGTGTCCAACGCCGGCTCAGGCCCCGGACCCGGACCAGGACCCGGACCTGGGCCCGGGCCCAGCTCCGGCTCCGGTTCTGGTCACGGCTCCGGCTCCGGCTCTGGCCACAGCCACAGCCACGGCCACAGCCACAGTCACAGCCACAGTTCCGGACACGGACACGGACACGGGCACGGGCACGGGTCGGGTCGCGGTCGCCGGCCGCACAGTGGCTCTTCACACCACTCGTCGGGCGGCGGCTCACAGCAGAACTCCTCGCGGAACCGGCGGAGTAACAACGGTTAGTGTGACCGGCCGCGGCGCGACCCGGCCGCTCGACACCGGCGCGCTGTGGGGAGAGGAACGGGCTGGTGGTAACCAGGCGCGAGTCACGGTTGGTTTTTGTGTCCTGTTCGTTTGATTAAAATTATGTGTCACGTGGAGGGTCACTGGTAAAATGCGATGAAGCGTTGTTGTTTCAAGGCTTTGGGCAGGGTAAGACCCAGACGTTTGCATGCTTGCTCGAGTCAGTTTGACATTAATTTGTTCTGTAGCGTTAGGCACTAGCATTTATTTGAATGAGTTCCATGTATCATTGACGATTAATGATCACTTTGTTTGCCTTTTTCCTGTCATCTTTTTGTGATCGTGATTAAAAATATCAAGAAATGTAATTCCACTGAATATTAGAGTTCACATACCAGTCAATTCAGTGTAGCTTATCCAAATATCTTTGACTCCAATGCTTCATTGAAATTTCATTGTGATGTTTTAAAAGATTTCTTTTCTGACGATTTTAACATAACCGAGGGACGTTTGGCTTTTAACGCAGGGACCCAACATCGACGGAAGCCAGGGGGTAACAGCTCCTCGGCGCAGGGTAAGTGCATCATCACGTCTAAAGTAGACATCGACAGCAGCTGGCTAATTTCGTCTTACTTTGACTGTCTTGGTATATTTTCTTAGACATACTTGTCTGATGAATGTCGTGTGTGATGAGTTGATGAGTGATGACTAATCTTTTTATCCAGTTAACAGCACAGCTGCAGTGCTTTAATTATTTTTATCGATTTGTTTTTGTTGCCTTGTCCTTTCTCAATACTTTATCAATGTTTAGTTTGGTTAGCTACTAAGTCGTTTGCTCACAGGTGGGGGTCGAAACTAACGTTAATCCTGTCCGTAAGTGGCCGCAGATTGTGACCCTCTGGCCTCTTGATAGACCGAAAACTGAGGTGTACTTTTAGTGTGGTTTTATGTTTCTTGTTTTGATACACTAACTATTGTATCTGTAACCGAAGCATTTTTTTTTTATTTAGAAGTTTTCCTCTAGAAATTGGCTGAATGGCCTGGTCACAGTTGACACAGCTTCTTTTGACAATGGGGAATGAATGATAATGAACTAAAGAAGTTAACTGTTAAGCTTTTCATACCTGTTGACCGCTTGCTATATCTCACCGCACACATACCATGCGATGTTTTGACGCTGGTGGTCACCTGTGATCTGTCTGACACTGCCCTGACCGTGTGTCCCCTGTTCCCTAGCCGACGGCGGCGCTGTACCGTCCTCCGGCTCCGGCGGCGGCGGTCAGAGGTCCTCCAGAGGCCAGCCGGCGCACCGAGCGGGGCCGCGCGACGCATGATGGTGCGCTGAGCCGCCGCTGAACGGCCGGTGAGCGGCCCGCGCGGCGGCCGCGCCTCCTCCCGTACTCAGTACAAAGTGGGGCGCCGTGCTCAGGGCGCCCGTGCGCCCCCGGCGGCGCCCCAGGAACTACGGCCGTGGTATCTGCGCGGCAGCAGCGGCCGGTTTTGTAGAGCGGTTTATAGTGTGGCCGGGAGGCCGATCTGACTGAGACTGTGATGGACAAGTGCTGTCGCCGCGCTCTGTTTTAGGTGTGATCCGTTTTATTGGTGGCTCTGTGCGGCGCTGACGGCGCGGTCGGGCGGAGGTGATGCGGTGTCGATCGTATGTCGGGAGGGTGATGACTGTAATATCTGGCGCTCCGTTGGATGGGCGCTGTGGCTGGCGGCGGTGGGAGAGCCACCGTCGCCACGGTGTTAGCTTGTTAGACCTGGAATGGACTTCCACCGGGAGTGGGCTGCGTGGACCATTTGTGATCATTGTTGCGACTTGAGTCGTCCCAATCACTGCCGAGCACATCAACTCTGTGACTGTCTCATCATGTCTCCGGATGTACAGGCGTCGGCGGCAGTGTGGGTCACTTATTGTGACGCGTAACGCGTCGTTATGGAATGATATTGTCGCCGGGAGAGAGTTGCATTTACCTCTTTTTCACGTGTCTCTGAGTCATTAAACAGCCGATGCCTGCTGGAGTTTCGTTTTTTGTTGGAAAGAGAAAGATGGGAAGACGGCGGAACCAAGGGCGGAACGTTTGATGGATGGGTCGGTGACAAATGCTGGAAGGCATAAATAGACGAAATTGGAAGGTATTAGGAGCTGCTCTTCTTCTGGACACGCAGTTAGGATTTAGGAGGGACGTGGACAACGGCCTTTGAACTTTTCATGTTGTCCTGAGTTCTTATTGACCGAACCTTTTTCATACTGTTTCTGACGGCCGAAAAAAATGCGAGACTTTCTTCGATGTTTGCTCAATTCACAGAACTCTTTCGAATGCTTTAGATGAGTAGATTTTTAGTCATGACTTGTGTGCTTAACAGGGTCCAGTTCATATAGAAAAGCCAGTCGACAAGTGTCACTTTGCCAAAGTGCCACTTATCAAAGGGACACTTTTGGGAACATTGGTGCAGATGTGTAAGGGTCAGTAGCGGCGGAACACCTTCAATTAAAGGGGGACACTGCCGACTTTTGGTCCTATTCTTTCCATGCAACGCCCATAGGGCTAATGTTAAAATGCCAAAATCAAAGGGGGGCACGGTACCCCGGTGCCCTCCCCGTTCCGCCGCCTATGGAAGGGTGGCTCTATGAACCCATCTGTAGGGTCGCCCTTTCCAATAAGTGTCACTTAGCAGCAAAGGGGCGCTATATGAACTGGGCCCAGAGCAATGGGTTACACTAGCCGCCACTATAAAAAAACGAGTTGGCGGTAGGCACTCTAGTTGAATTGAGGGGCTTTCATGTTTTGACTCTGCGGTAAGCAAATTCAAGCTTTAAAATTAAATCCAGAATCACAGATGATTGTTCGTAGATGACTGCACCTATAACTTCTCACCTATACTCCCCCCCCCCTGTAATGTGTAATCTGCGTACCGGCTGAAATAGACCAGGCAACGTATTATTTAGTATAACGCATTATTTAGTGCCGGCACTAATACATTCAGTGCCGTGCTTCTATCATTTAGGATATCTCTCCGCCGATGTTACCCGTTGACCGGCTGCTCCTGTCGCTATAGCCGGCTCTTGCGTACCCTTATTTTCGTACTTTTTTCGTTTATGACACTTCCTCCGCCGCTGAAACCCGTTGACCGGCTGAGCCCGTTGCTTTAGCCGGCTCTTGCGTACCAGTATTGTCATACTTTTCTCGTTTATGATACATCCCGCCGGGGTGACCCCCGGGCCGCGGCCAGTTGAAACTATAGCTGAGCTGCTGATTGGCTGGCCGTCGCGGACCTAACATGGTAGCCGTCGTACTTTTTGGCGGTACTTTTCTCGTTTATGACACTTCCCCGCCGCTGTGACCCGCTGACCGCCTGACTCTGTCGCTGATTGGTTGACCGTCCGACTCAGACAAGCCCTGCGGCGTTCGGAGCGTCTGTCTGGTGCCGGTCGGCGGTCAGTGACGTCCCGGGCTGTGTGGGGAGTGGGACGGGTCCGAGGGCGGCGGCCAGCCTGAGACGGACCGTGGGCTGTGTGGAGAGGCAAACAGATATGGCACGAAACACAGGTTAGTGAACTGCGGTCGAGCTGGATAATGGGTGTGCTTATGTGTTTTGGAGATCGTGACTTGAAACATAGTTTATTTCAGATTAGAACATTGTGGCAATGCCTTTTCGGCTGCGCTTTCTTGTTCTGGTTAATGTCTGAACCACTTTGCTTTCTTTCTGAATCGGTAATCATGGGGTCAGTCTGGTATTGCTGATTGCTCAGTAATGTCCCACCGTCATTTACCGCCAAGTAACGCCGTTTCTCTGGCCACCGCAGCCGCCTGCACTCTGGCCCCCGTCTCTGTGATCCTGCTGCTACCGCTCCTGTCGTCGCTCGCCGCCGGTCAAGACACGGGGGCAGTGGATGCTGCAGCATTGACCCCACTCCAACTGGATGAGGAGAAAACCGGACCAAAGCTGACCCCTGAGGAGGTGAGCTTAGCCTTAGGGTGGGGCTGAGGCTGAGGTTGATATTTTGAGGTCTAATAGGTACGATACATGCAGATGCCATGAAGTCTTTGCTGTATCATGCGATGTTGCTGTCGTGGCCGTGCTGGTTCCTTAGCTTGTTCGAGGCTTGTCCGAGGCTTGTCCGTAATATCCTCGGCCCGAAGGTCGTCTGTGACCGCCAGCCAGCCTGACCCTTGTATCCTCCCATTATGACCCGCGTGTCCCTCCGTCAGCTGGAGGCGGCGCTGATCGCCGGTCTGGAGCGGTTTGAGCGCAGCGCCGACGACTGGACCCTGCGCACCACCGAACACTGGCAGCACCACATCTCCGACGTGGTCGAGACGTTCCAACGAGGTCAGACAGAACGAGAAGGTCGGAATTCTGGATCGACTTTTAGACTATTTGACGTGTGTTATATTTGTCAATCGCTTGCTTTTAGATATTTACTGAAGATACATAAACAAATAGTTTACATACACGGATTTGGTCTAAAGTATCAGCTGTAATTGCGTATGGAGAGTGCATTTATGTGCATATTTTGCTTATGTAGCTGAGATATAATGTGATTTTGATACGTTCACGTTACATCTTAGAAATGTAACCAAAGGTTTGTTGTCAATAGTTAAAACGCTATTCGTTAGAATTGTTTTTTTTTTCTATTGAAAAACAAATCTGAGTTCCCTGACAATTTGGCAAAAGCTGCCTGAGATCAGTAAGCTGCCTAGTGTCTGTGTTGTGCAGCTGACACCACTGCCATTCTGTCTGATGGGTCTATTGTCCCAGGTCATGAAGACCAGGGCCGGGAGCGGCGCCGTCGGGACTTTTTTGGCCTCCCGGAGGAGCTGTGGCACTCGTATAAATACGGCACCGGTGTGGGCAACAGAGAGGGTGAGTCTCCGGGTTATGACGGGGCGAGGCTATGACGACTGTATGGACAGGATAGGACTCTGGGCTAGATGAAGGTGAGGGCTTAGTCGCTCATCGCTATTATTATTATTATTATTATTGTTTATTCAGCATCGTCATGCGACAAAAAGATACATACCCCACCCCACCCACCCCCCCCCCCACCCCACCCACCCACACACACAGTTAATCAGCACTCAGGAGGTTAGTAGTCTTAACAGGCGCCGCGAGGCCTGACAGTTGCTTGCCAAAACCATCTTCAAACTGTCTATAAGACCGCTTTCTTGGAGTGGTGCCCGGACTATGTCGTGATCGACGTACCCAGCAGCGATGTGCATGATAGCGCCGAAATTCCCACCACACAGATTATATACGTGGCCAATAAACGACCCATCCAACTGCTCGGGGTACGTAGCAAGTCTGGCCAGTCCAGTGACGTAGGCTTGGCGAAGACGGTGGTCAGCGCGGAAAGCATTACGGAATGCGCGGAGGGCATCACCTCGCAGCACCTCACCGATGCGAGGCACCCCAGCAGCAATCAAAAGAGCCGTATGGTGCGCAGAACGCGGCAGACCCAGCGCTGCCTTGATCAGCGAAGCCTGTCGCGAGTCTAGACGCTCAATGTCGGCGGAGCTGAGGGGAGCCGTCTCACAGCCGAAGATCAGTGCCGGCAGCACTACTGTCTTCCAGAGGAAGATTTTGTCAGCAGCAGTCAGGCGGTTGGTGAAATTGCCCAGGGGTGTGAGGCCATAGAATGATGCACAAGCACGCCTGATGCGCTGAGCCACGTGGCTGTCTGTGCTGAGGTTGTCATCAAGCACCGTACCGAGGTGCTCGGTCGTCTGCCGGATCTGCAGCTGCTGTCCTGACAGTGTCCACCTCGGTGTGCTCGTGAATAGTGCCTGTCCAAATATAATACAATGGCTCTTGGTTTTTCCCGGTTCAGGGTGAACGAAGTCGAGGCGCCAAGTAGCCGCGAATTCTCCCATCTGCAGCATTGCACCGAGGTCACGCGCGTTCGCAGATATAAGGAGAATATCGTCAGCGTAGCAGATAGCGGGTACGTGCTGGCTGTGTAGATATGCTCCACGACCGCTGCGATCTAGGACCTCAATAAGAGGTAAGAGGAAGATGTTTGCAAGGGTTGGCGATAAGATGGCCCCTTGTCTGGTGCCCCTGCAGACCAGGAACGCTTCAGATGTGGCGCCACCAAAAGTCACCCTTGCAGAGAGGTGGCGGTACCAGGTGACCATGAGGCACCAGCAGTAGTCGCTAAGATAATCTTCCAGACGGAAGAACAGACCGTCATGCCATATTCGGTCAAAGCATTTCCTCGCGTCAAGGTTTGCGACAAAAACAGGAAGACCCCTGGCTCGATTCTGCTGTATGGTCTCTCCAGCCAACAGAGACGCTTGCATGGTGCCCCGATTGGAGATAAAACCAAACTGCAGATGATGAGGTACAAATGAGGCGTTCAGTTCGTCTAGCACTAACAGCTCGAGCAGCTTAGATGCGCAGGTTGTGATTGAAATCGGTCGATAGTTGTCCAAGCAGTTAGGGTCCGATTGAGATTTCTTCAACACGGGTACAATAACGCTGTCAGCGAAGGTAGCTGGCACGCTACACGTGGACAGGCAGACAGAGAGAAGGTGCGCCAGAGCTGACAGGAGACAAGGCGACTGACCATAGAGAAGGTGCTCCGCCGTGATGCCGTCTATACCAGGTGCCTTCCCACGCTGTAACCGGTGAATGAGGCCTGCTACTTGTCCAGCTGAAACCGTTCTTTCGGATGCATCGTTACGGATTCTCCTTAGTCGAGAATCTACATGTTCAGCAATTTGGAGCTGGTCCAGAGTCAGTTGCCTGCGACTATCTTGGTGCACAGTCTATTCGGGCTGTACCCGTTCGCCGGCACGACCAGAGCTATGCACAGATACAGCGAGATCCGGTCTGTGCAATATATCACGGTGACTATAAATATATGACCGTCGAACAATGCCGCTAATTGACCGATATGTGCAATTGAATTGCATTTTAGCGGCAATGTCATGTGCTGCGTCGGTGCGAGCGTTTTGCCTGGTTAGCCGTTGCGGTGAGCGTTTAGTTCTCTGGCAAGGTCATTTCCAGTAGTGTTGAGTGTTGCTTTGATCTGCTTTCAGAGCTGACTTTACATGGCTTCTACCGTGGTCGGCAGCTGAAAGTTTCTGGACCGGCCCTCGACGCCCCGCCCCAATGGCAGGTCAGGTCACTCCAGCGGCAGGTCAAAATCCATATTCGCCAGCTGTCGAGAGACAGATCGAAGGAAAACTAAGACCGAGATCTTGATTTAATGTTCTTGGGAATATTACTCATCGCAACAATGCTTTAACTATCGAATCTCACTTTGCAGTTTCAATGACGTATTTTTATCGATAAAGCTTTGCTTGTTTACGCTTGACTCTACCTTCTGTCTGTTCAGTGACTACTTAGGGTAGTACTACCCACGTTATTTCGATGTCTCTGTGGCGTCCAACAGGTGGTGAGCCACCGAGGCGTGTTCTTCCTGTTCGGGCTGTACCCGTTCGCCGGCACGACCAGACTGCATATCGTGAGGACCAACTTCAGTGGGGACTTCCAGGAACACACCGGTATGAGCAGGGCGAACGCAGTTCCTACTCACCTTACATCGGTGTCTTACTCGAGTCTAAATCGATAACTTCAGCGTGTTGTGGCCTGCAGTAGGAACTGACAACTGATCCAAGATAAGCTCCAAACGTGGCACTGTCGTACGTTTGGATTAATTGATTCATTTATTCATTCGACTATTTAGTGAATGTATCGGTATATTGTAAAGTAATCTTGGGTATATTGGTCACTGGCTACTGCGCTGTGATACCCTGAAACTGGCTCCGCGCTGTTCTTATCATTGTCACTCTCTCCGACCCTTCTCTGTTTTCTAGTTAAGTTAACGGCGGCGGACCTGCGCGTCACTCCGTTTCTGCACCACGTGCGGGCCAATCAGGGCTCTCAACTATTTGCGTTCGTGAAACGCACCGCGCCCTCCGCCGGTCTGTACCCGGACGGAGCTGCACAGGTCACAGAACAGGTGTTCTGCCTTCTCGTCAACCAAAGCACACTAGAAACGGTGAGAGCGGGGCTATATGGGATATTTGGAGGGCTGGGGTGAGGGTTAGTTAAATCCTAAAGCTAGTGAAACGGCATGAATGATCACGAAACAATCATTCCGACCGCTCACTGCTCGCAACAAATGTCTCCCAAGTCCCAGCACGGTGACTTGTCTGAGTAATCAGCGTGATCTGGACTCGCATCACTGACTTGGTGTGAATTGTATCATGTATGTGAAGGGCGAGTGAATATCATCACTCAATGAGGCTATATGGTAAGCTCCCCCCACTCTGATCACCCCTCTCCTCTCTACCCCCATGTCTCCGCAGAGTGAGGTCTGCACTCCAGTGACGCTCCCCACCGATACGCCCACGGCCGAAATACTCGTGGACGTGCTGTACGACTCGTACACGGGCGCAGAAACCATCGCGCTCTTCCCCGTGCGCCAGACTCACGGGCTGGTGGTGTACAGACTGAGTGACATGAAGTTCTCGGGTGATTACAAGTACAACCTGGGGTGAGTCTGGCACTGATGGATGGAGGGACGGATCGATTGTTCGGGGTCTTGGCGATATTGAAAATGGCCTTCACTACAATGCAAGCATTCTGAAAAGCGGAAACTGCGAAACCTGACACCGGTACTACGCAGCCATGCTGTTCGCGTGGTGCATTTTCATTCTGCCCTCTTGAACTTGTCGCGATTGACTAGCGCTCAACCCATTAACTCTCCGTCTGCTGTGCGGTTCTCTGTCCAAATTATCCATACTGACACCCCCTGCTGTCCGGCTCCATGTCCAAACTGTCCATGCTGACGCCTGTCTGTGTCCGGTTCCCTGTCCAAAGTGTCTACACTGACGCCTGTCTGTGTCTGCATACCGTCAGGCTACACTGCTCGATCCCGACCAATAGCTCCGTGTGGAAGGTGCGTCTGTTCTCCGTGGCTGACACCACCTATGTGGTGATTACCTACGGCGATGGGCCGCTCGACCGGATGGTTCAGGTGTTCAGGTCAGTACAGACCGTATGTTCTATGTGTTTTTAGGTCGGTGGACCGTATGGTCCAGGTCTTAATCTCAGTTTGGGCTACGGACCGAATGGTCCAGGCCTATAGGTCGGTATGAGCTGGTTGATCCGGATATGTTCGGTCGGTATGGACGGGAAGTTCCATGTCATCATGCTGACTTACCGGATGGTCCAAGAATGCGATGTGGACCGAATACTTAGTCCCAAATGTTCATGCTTGCACGGAGAACGGGTCACTTCGTTTGGAAAGTACCGCCTTATATAAGATGTTTCAGAAAGTCTGACTTGTCGCTTGTATATGCCACACAACTTTGCCTTTATTCGCTCATCAAATGGTATATTCGTATGAACAGGCACGATTCGAGCGTCTTCTCGCTGGTTCAAACATTGGCGGTTACCAGCTTCGTCATAGACATCGAGGTGTTCAGCATCGGCTTTCAGCACTATCTGGCTCTGGGACAGGTACGTCGTCAGCAATCATTCCAATGTTTTGAATGTTGATGGCGCAACGCGAATGCATTTTACCGAAATGGTGAATGTTTCATGCTTGTTCAGTCTGCTTTTACGCCGTGTGGTGTTCCGTTACCCTTCACGAGAGTGACAACTCTGTGCGTCTTCACCTTGGTCAAGTTCGAGCTTATTCAGGATCTTTTTTGCACCGTGTCATCTTCTTGCCCACTTCTCAGGAGAACCGGATGTCGCTGTACGTGTGGAACTACGCCGAGTTCCATCTGCTCCAGGACGAGCCGTCGCCCCTCACCTACAGGTGGACCGTACTGGCCGTCAAATCCTGCAGGTCGGTCACAGCGGTACCAGATTTACATGGGCACTATTCACATTCAATCACAGAACGTGGTGTGTGTGCTCTCGAGCACAATTTATTTTTACTTGATTGTAGTGAAATGAATTGCTCGACAAAAAACACCCACAATTGAAATACGTAGGTCTGCCGCCACGCTGTTGAGGATTTGCCGTGAGGTTTTCTGTGTCCGGTTTCAGACATGAGGTCATTCTGGCCAAGGTATTCGAGGACTCCGGCACCGGGGTGGAGTTCTACAGACACAACGTGCGGACACAGCAGTTCGAGGCGGTCAGTGCAGCTGTGTGGTTCTTCAGTGACTCTAGTTTAACAAATGGTGTCATTATGATTATGAGATTATGATTTTACCCAATGCCGTTTTTAGACGCTCTAGGCGCAAGCCGAAAATCTTTCGCACGATCTGAAACAGTGTTGTCCATCACATTTGTGACTCCACTTCCACTCTGTATCACTGCACCTATATGACGTGCCCCTCCGTACCATTTACGAACATTATGCCTTTCCGCACCAGGTCCCCTCTGTGCCCTGTACAAGCGGAGACAGCCATGGTGTAAATCTGGACTGTTTCCGGCGTCCGGGCGATGTGCTGGACCTGATCGAGCTGATCGGCGTCACAACGGACGACGCCACCTACATCATCATACCGTCCAAGGTGCGGCCGATCGGGTGTGGAGGCGGTGGGATTCGACGGACTTTGGGACATTTTTAGGGCACTCAGGGTTCTTGTTATGTAAATAGCCGAATGATTATAATATGTATTTTGCCGCCATGTATCATTTTCTCAGTTTGTGTTTCATATGCCGTGCGATGTGGTACATGTATCAAATCCATCGTTGTTTCGCGCATCGCGCCGCTCTACGCTACTTCTGTTGACTGAGCCCAATCCGACTGAACCATCGGCTATCTACCATACTACCCTTGTCTGTTGTGTTATTCGCCGTTCAGCTCAATCAGCTGGTGCTGACGACTGAACGCCAAGTGACTGAACCATCTCTCTACCCTTCTAACCTAGTCTGTGTTGTGCCGCTCGCCTTTCAGTTGAACCAGCTGGTGCTGGTGACTGTGAACGCCACGGTGGACGTCGCTCCGGACCCGGTCCGACTGCAGAACGAACGGCTGCTGGACAGGAAGGCGCGGCTGCAGGTAAGCCATGTGCTGAGCGCAGACTGAAGATATTCCGTTGATGATAAATTGAAGCAAAGGTCTGATATTCTTGTTTCGATGTTTTCAGGAAGAGAAACGTTTCACCTAGATACGAGCATCTTCTAGCTGTACGGGAGTGTTTCCATTTTGATGTCATTTTAAGAAATAGACTAGCGATATCCGGCGAGATGTTTGTTTTGGATCTCCCTGCTTCGAAGCCACTCCTATTGCTGTGGTTCTTGGTAGAACATCACGCTTCTTTACTATTTATCGCTCGCAGGCAAAGTTCGACTCGCTCCTAGAGAAGCAGAAGCGACTTGAGTCTGTGCTGAGTAGGAGCGTCATACCGGGGAGCGACCAGCAGATCACGGGAAACTGCAACTTTCTCAGCGTGGTCACGGGTAAGATACGCAGGAGTTGAAATCACAGCATACGCTATACGTAGCGGCACCGTAACCATGTTCGTAATGCAGATTGGCGACACATAAGTTTGCTTAATGCTGGTTAATGATCGGTTTAAATGTCTGGTTAACTGATAAAATCTACATTTGGAGGTCCTGGTAAATTAGTTTTCTGTTTCTGGTTCGATGTATTGCCATCTTTTATCACATGCTCTGTTCTACGTGACTGTCTTCAAATATGATTCAACATCACTTTCAGGAACATCTGATGCGCTATGACCCATCTGACACTGTATAACTCCCCTTCCCCCCCCCCGCTCTCCAGCCAACACACTGGTCGCGCCGGACGTGGCGCTCCACCGAGTACATCTGCCCGGGTATGCCGGCGACGCTCTGGGCCTAGTGGCACCCCTGACCGAGCTCACGGACAAGGTGGCCGCTCTGGAGCTGGCCCTCATCACCGCGGCCGACCGGGTGGCTGGTGGGTAGCGACGTGGTTCTGGGGAATACTGCGAGCGATGGGGTGGCATGGCGTGGGAGACGATGTGAATAGGTTCTTTGGATAAAGGAAGAGCTTGGGTGAGAATGGACTCATTAATTATGGATGATGGTATGGCATACATTTGGATATAATGGCTCGCGATATAGCAAGTCTTTGTGCATCAATTCATGCATAATGTCATTGTTGATGCTTTTATGTAAATCCTTATTAGATTATCCGTCAGATGGCGAAAACACGACGATTTACGAATGTTGATTTTTCCGTCCCATGCGTTTCGCCTTCCGAAGCTGGCGGTCGCTGTTGTTACCGTCGTCCCCTCACCCTCAGACGTAGTCCACGCGGACGACACGTCCATCCAGATCTCCGGTCAGAAGAGCGTGGTGGGCGGCGTGTTCAGCGAGTCGCTGACCGCCTCCGGACCGGTGCACATCAGCACGGTGCGCGGCACCGACCTCAACAGCACACTCTCCAACATGGTCAGGTGAGGAGGACGGCTGGGAGTGGGGCTTCTCATGAGCAGCCGAGGTTGGTGAGGGTTTGACAAGGTTTGGTTCTATAAAATCGAGGTTGAGTGGTCTTAACTTGGTTTCATCGCCCACCATGTGATTTCCATTTATGATCGTGATAACTGGCTCAACTTATCTCTTGTCTCGGTCCGAACGAGAATACTATGAATTCATCGTGGTCCTCCAAGGCCAATCAATGTGCCGCTTTGTGACATTTCAGTTTCAAGATTACACTTTCCGTTTTATTCACGCACCTCACCCACTATTCGATGTTTTTCATGCCATCTGAACTAGTCATGACACCACCTCCCCCATTCTCTCGTATCACCCCCCCCCCCTCTGCCCACAGGGTGGACTCTGACCGTCTCATCTCCGGCACCAAAACCATCGCCTCCTCCCTCACTGTTACCTCCGAGCTGACCGCGGCGCTGCTCAACGACCGTCCAGTCTCCGACATTGTCACCGTGGACACCACGCAGGAGGTGACCGGTCCGCTGACGTACGCGGCCGGCGCGCTGAGCGCGGACTCGCTGTCAGTGGGTGGACTGGTGGGAGGCGTGGATACCCGCCGGCTGGCGACCTACAACGGCGGAGACACCCTGCCTGGTACGTGGACGGGGAAGGTGGAGGGGAAGTGTGCATGGTAATTTTCGCAGCATTGTAATTTTAGTGAATGTATCTCGCGATTGGCAAGGCCTGCTGATGAAGCACGTCTCTTTTCCTTAGCCATAGCAACTAGAACTAGAAAACTAGGAAACTGTTCAGTAGTTATCCATCCTTCCGTCTAAAACGGAAAAAGTTGCTGCTGTTAGCCTGTTACATAACTCTGAAGGCTAACATCCAATGTGTCTTAATGAATAGACCAACCAACCCCATGTTTTCCCTCTCGTGTGTGGTTGCCTGTGTGATGTTCACTGAAGTTTCCCTCCATATCACCAGTGGCGGCATCCGTCGAGTACCTGAAGGCCGACAGTCTGACCGTGGGCCTGATCAACGGCCGACGCCCGGAGCAGGTGTTCTCGAACGTTCTACTCACCTCCGGCGGCACGTTCACGGACGCGGTGACGTTTGATAGTGACGTCACACTGGCGGATATCACAGTCAACGGTGAGGACGGTCAGCCAGGCGTACGGCTGCCAAAATATGATGATATTGTGGATAGTCGTCAGTTTGAAATATCAAACACATTGCCCGAATAATGCTCCCCAATGAAGTATCACTTGATACGTTTACTGGCTATGGATTACCGTATCGTCGTTTTTTTAATCCAGCTATATGCATAATACCACGGTGACTATAAATACATAATACTGCCGTTGCTGCTGGTACGGCATGCGTCGCGAGCCGAGGCCGTGCGGTGCAGTCTACCTAAACAGTAAGGCAGTGCGGAACAGTCTACCAATTCAGGCGCTGACTATTAGCGACATCTAGGGGAGAATATCGAAGCTAGATCTCGTGCGGCACAGCATACCGATGCAGGCGCTGACTGCTAGCGACATCTAGGGAAAATATTTTAACCTTCGCCCCAGTGGGGGGGGGGCATATGTTACCACCCTGTCGCGTTTTTCGCGTGTGAATAAAAAACCGCGGCGCGTAGCGCCGCGCCGCTTGGGGTAGCTTTTGGTACATCAATTTTGGACAATGTGTGAAATTTTTGACCCCAGGTCATGTCAGGTCAGGTCACCAGGTCAAGTTAACTGACCAAGCCTTAAAAAAGTTTGCAATCATGTCCAGCCTGCAGTGTTTGTCAGAAAGGTTTTAAACTTGGTGGATTGCATGCTGTTATGGGAGCCTACAATTTGTATATCTCGGATTTTTTTATATCCGTGACCTAAGGTTAGGTCAGTGGCATGACCTTTCCATTACAAGTCAATGGAGAAAAATGAAAATGCCTCTAGATCCGTGTGTACGCATAAAAACAGTCCAAATATTTCAGAATCACAATGAATTAGTCCACTCGTGATGACCAATGTGTCATTTTTGCTGATAGCCTCTAGAAAGGTCATCCGAGGTCATTTGAGGCTACAAACAGTTTTTTTGCCAATAACTCGCGATTGGAAAGAGATAGAACGCTGGGGATGGTCTCATTGTGTTTGTCTTGTTGAGACGCATCGACTGATATGCAACATGACCTTTTCCGGTCAGGTCATGACCTTGAACTGAGGTCAAATTTTTAAGTTGACCTTTCAAGGTCAAATTATAGTTCATTCGACGCGTCTTGGTGAGGGGAACACGATTCTGGCAATATAAATGTCGTGGCTTTTTGTAGTCGAAAGTTATTGTCGAAAAACACTTCTCGTAAAAACAGCTATTTTTGGAGTTTTTGCCCTCTGGAGGCTAAACCGTTGACCTGAGGACAATATTGATAATGACTTTTTCAAAAGAAGAGTTCAAAAGCTATCGATTGCTCTTCCATGCGTTTTTCTAGCTACCATAGTTCCTGAGATAGCGGCATGTTTTCTGAAAAATATAATGACAATTGGCAAATTTTGACCTTTGATGACCTCTGGTGACCCCAATATTGCTCTAAGGTGAAAAATGACCGAAATACTTTCAAACGTACGTATTGAGAGCTATCGACTGCTTTTTACCGCGTCTTTCTAGCCCTCTTAGTTTTTGAGTTAGAGGTGGGTGGTAACATATGCCCCCCCCCCTCACTAGGGCGAAGTTGGCCGAGACCGCCACTGGGGCGCGGGTTAAAATCTGATGTCCTGCGGTGCAGCATACCGCTCCAGGCGCTCACAACTCGTGACATCTAGTGGCAGGAATATTCATTATGCTACCGGCAGGGACGGATATGATTGCTAAAATTACAGCGAAACTGGAAAGGAACGTGTTTTATTCCAGAATTGTGTACATACATATGACAATGTTTGATGTTTTGAGGAAGTTTCTACAGATTTTATGATGCACATTTCATTACTGATTAGATTTCCTGGTCACAGGCACTCTGAACGGCGAAGACGCGGGACTCCTTTCGTCAGTCATCTACACCGACTCCGCTCAGCAACTGGAGGCTCTGTGGCTCTCCTCTGCCGTCGTGGCCGGGTCCCTCGCGCCACAAACCGTCGACTCTAAACCGTTCCCGGGCGGACGTTACGTCACCAGAGGTGGATCTCACGTCATTTCCGGCCAGAAGACACTAAACAGAGTAGTAGCCTCCAGCGTGACGGCAGCGCAGGTGGACGGTGTGCCCGTGACGCAGCTCGTGACGCTCGACACGGACCAGACGCTGACGTCACTCAGCGTCACGACAGGTCACGTGCTCGGTGACCTGACCGTCGGCGGAACGATAGATGGCGTCAGGGTCGCGCCGGGCTGGCTGGACCACCTCATCACGAACGTGACTGAAACTCTGGATGCTGACTTGGTATTCGCCGGAGGGGTGACCCTCCTGGGAAACCTCCATGCCACCAGCATTAACGGCGAGTCTGCGGAGAAGGTGTTTGGCGGTTTGGTTTTACCCCACACTGACCGGCCAGCGATTGTGACCGGTAGGAAGCGGTTCACCTCAGCTGTTACGGCCGATGAGGTGACTGTAGGCGGTGCAGTGAACGGTGCCGACCCGGCCGACTGGCTGTCTGTCTCTGGGGAGCAGCTGGTGGTGGGTCCTCTCACCCTTGCCGGTCGCGGGTTCTTCGCTAGCCTGATGGCGGCAGGGAGGGTGGATGGGGTGGATATCACTGCACTCATACAGGAAGCGATCTACACGGACGCCGAGCACGAGCAGCTTTTGTACGGTGTGAAGGCGTTCACTGACCCCTCCACCATGTCCGCGCTGCTAGTGGACGGCCCGATAAACTCAGTAGGCGCCGGAGAGGTTCTGTGGACCCGCGGCACGCAGACCATCACCGGATCACACGCATACCTGGGACCAGTCCGCGCCGGAGGACTGCACGCCTACGGGGACCTACTGGTGCCGGACGGTGCTCGGGTGGGAGGACTGGACTTTTCCGAGCTGCCAGCACACGCTGCCACACTCGCAAATGATACCCACACGGAGAGACTGGTGTTTGACCGAGTCATTGTCCGCGGAGACGTGCTGACTGATCATCTGAACGGCGTGGATCTCCGTCATCTGACGACAGGCGTGCTGCGCCGCGGTGGAGGAACCATCACCGGGCGGTGGAGGTTCGAGTCACTGAGAGTGAACGGCTCTGTGACGACCGCGCAGGGAGCCGGGGGGTACCACCTCGGTCAGCTCCGGCAGAGGGTGATCAGCGTGAGCAGGGGCGGCACGGTGCACGCGCCCGTCTTCTTCGAGCGTCTCTCTGTGGAGGATGGCGGGGAGGTGCGAGGGAAGATGGTGCTCGGAGGAGTGCTGTGGGAGGAGGTGCTGGATAATCTGGCCAGTCGAGATCGGCCCATCAACATCAACGGTGAGTACGTAACTAGACTGAGGGATAACGGGCAGGGATTAGGCTGAGGGAATGCAGCGGGACGCGAGAGAAGGCTCTGATACTGGCTCTGTATTCGTATTAGAACACATGAGCTGAATATTGCAGCGCATGAATACCTCTTATTCGGATAACGCTTGTTCCATTTTCCTTTGTTGGTGCTGGAAATTGATGTAATGCTGCTTTTTGTAGTTTGGAATAAGTTTTTTTTTTTTACTTTCTTGCTTGATTATCGGTAATCGGTTGATCGATCAAAAGACTTGGTCAATTTTTACTCAACAAAGACCCGTCCGAATTGTGCTTTACTTGTTTGGCCGAGCCTTGCTCAAATCACCCCGTTTGCAACCGTTCCACCCTCCACCGCCAGCCTCCAAGACGTTCTCCGGTGGCCTGCACGTCATCGGCCAGCTACGCTCTCCCTCGCTACCGCTCCAGAACCTTCTTCTAGTCAACGCTGACCAGATCATCACGGGGACCGCCTTCTTCCACTCTGACGTCACCATACACACCGGTCTGACCGTGCAGCAGCCAATCAACGGGCGGTATGACGTCACCAAGATCGAGGAGCTGTTCGTCACCGATACAGAGGATCTCACTATAGATGGAAGTCTGGATATTTGGGTGAGTGTGGGTGGAAAATTTGAAGCATGAATGTGAAAAAGATGAAGTCGAGCCTCATTTCTGGGAATGGTTCTTCAAAAGCTGTTTTGCTCTGCTGGGTGAAGCTTTAGATGAGTGTTTGATGGCTCTGTAGCTATAAGCCGTCTTTAATATGCGACTGTTAATGTCTAACATCGCACTGCTCCTCTCCGCAGGGTGGTGTATCCATCTCCAGTCTGCACCTATCTGGCTTGCTCGCCGGCCTGGATGCCACCACCATCCTCTCCGACGCCATACCGCTCTCCGAAGACGCCCACCTCACCGGTCACATCACCTTCGTCTCTCCGGCTCGCGCTACAACCATACACCTCCTGGACGGTCTGCTGAACGGCCGACATCTAGTGGAGTTCCTCTCCACCGTGAGACTGGTGAACGAGGAACAGGTGTTTAGATATCCCGTGACGGCAGTCGGTGTCACACTGGAGACGGCAGAGATGAGGAATCTGACGGTCGGAGGGCTGGTCGGTGGCGTGAACTTCACTGATATACTGCAGGTGAGTGTTGATGGGTTGGAAAACAGTGTTAGTGACAACCGTGCGTGTTCGTCCGAGCTGGCTTAAAGGAGGGACATTGGGATTGGAGGACGGGTAAGGGACGGAGTCAGCAATACAATGTAAGATTGATGGTTGGAGATAAGAGTGGTTCATTCTAAAATACGCTAACACTTGCGCTTAGGGAGCCACATTTTGTGCCACGGCGCTCATGGTAAATCATTAAACGGTTGGGCCATATCATTTTCGATACTCGCCATGAAGGTATCATTCCGTTTACCACTTACCTCATCTAACTATTACCCTATCTTCACCTCCCATTTCCAGCGTCTGATTTACCTGAACGGCGACTACGCGTTCAGCGGGGTCTGGACGGTACCAGAACTCTCAGTGGCCGGCGACCTCTCCGTGCTCTCCTTCAACGGCCAGAGCCCGGAGCGGCTACTCCGCCGGGATGTAACAGAGACCATCGAACAGCTGGTGGTGACGGGGGATGTGGTAACGACGGCCGTTCGTAACGCCACGGAGGAGACCAGACTGAACGGGTACAGGCTCTGGAGGGAGATCAACGACATGTTTAGGGTGAGTGCGGTGGCGGAGGAGGATGGAACGCATTGAGAAGGAAATTATGGCTTGATAGCAGTGTTATTTTGCACATTTGCTGTTAAAATGGACAGCAACGTGGACTACTAATTATTTTGATAATGCCGAGGCAACATATCTCGATCAAGTTCTTCGTGCGTTCAATTTAATATCACACTGTTCTTCATTAATTAATTTGCTGTTCAATATTATTTCTGGGCTTTAGGCCATGGCTCTCCATACACACCACAACAAAGTCGCCTTCTGCCTTCTTCCCGCAGCTGTCTCACGGCACACCCCAGACGTTCATGGGGTCACTGACCTTCACCGGTCACGTGACAGTGAGAGGAGACGTGGAGCTGGGCGGCCGTCTGAACGGCTTCAACGTCTCCCAGATCGTAACGTTGGGCACCGATAACGACGTCCTAGGTAAGGGGAGGAGACGTCCGTAGTGTTTGGGAGGGAAAGAGTAGATGGGCGATGGAAAATGAGGGATGATGAATGTAGAACTGGAAGGATGAGGAGGAAGTGTAGAAATTGATATAAATATAAAACAGATGGAACGTAAAAAGGAGCCGGATGAAGGATATTACGTCTCAGTTTTGAATTGTGTTGCGAAATGGGAAGCTTGTGATTTTTAGCGTAGAAGCTGTCACGCTACTGCGACTATCAATAATTAATTTCGTAAAACCGTTAGTTGTTGTGTCTTGTTCCGTGCCCATTTCTTTCCTGACATAAGAAGTATTCCCATCTCTCTTCTGACGCCTTCTTTCTCTCCCCAGCCAATCTGCAGTTCACGGGCCCGGTGACGGCTGACAAAGTGGTGGTACGGGGTCTGGTGGACGGCGTCAACGTAACCCAGTGCGCCGCCACGGCCGTGTACCCTGACGGAAACCACACCCTGTACGGAGATTACGCCGTCACCACGGTGAGTGCGGGTGGACTGTGGATCCTACTGCTGAGGCGGTTGAGTTGGTGGGAATAGTGGGGTTTGGCTCGGTTGGTGTAGGTGATGATGCGTCGAAGGAACTTTTCCAGTAGACGTTTTATCCTTTTCAAGTAGATGTTATCTGTTTTCTGGTCAGAGAGTTCTGTGTGCCGGCTTGCAAGTGATTTTCCCGGTCTGGGTGTCGCCGGTTTGGCTTCATGACTGATTTGATTATAACACCCCTAATATGTTTTAAGTGTCCCATGATTGGGTTGACACACCGTGATATGAGCATCATATCCGGCCGATGGCTTCTTGACAGGTACTGCTGGACGGGTTGAGCAGCGAGGGACCCATCGACGTGGACCGTGTCCAGACTGAGGTCAACGTTCTGCTGGAGCAGTGTGACGTCCAGCGGAACGATTTTAACGTGAGTGGCATCTTGGATATTGTCCCGGACTGATGCATGTGGCTAGCTAGCTAGGTGTAGGTATGCCAGCTCAGATCGCGATGAAACTCTCAGACATCGCCTGAATGCAGTGTTCCGTTCACGCAGGGACTTTTAAACGGAGGATTTTCTGGGGCCAATGGTGCGACATTGTGTGCATGCCGATCTCCGGTCGTTATTCTTAGTATCTGAAGACGGACATCAAATTTACATTACCTTACAGTACAATATAATACAACCGAGTTCACGTCCCGAGTCTCGTCGAGACTCGAGTAAGCGCTGAGCACTGAGCACGACAGTGTGCCGTGCGGCACAGCATCGTTCAGGCGTTTGACGCCACTGCCATCTATTGGCACGGGCATGAAGCATTGTAAACTTGGCGGCGCTACCGTGTCAGTTACTCTCTACTGTAGAGTGTAGAGTGCGCCTGAACTGGTTGTTTTCCATGTTTATTAGGTAGTGTGTTCTGATTAGCTTTCAATAATGCTTTCCCTTATATTTCCCCTTTGCGTACCTAGTGGCTCATGCTCCATTAGGTGGAAATGGAAGACTGAGCTGACCGAACTCTGTTGCTTCAACAATATCCATGCCATTTTGTGTCTCCCTGATGCCTTTTCTCCCCTCAGTACGTTTTTGTTTTGTGTCTCGGCAGGATTACTTCCGCTCCCAATGTCTGACGATGCGGGGTCTGTACGGCGATATGCGCTCTACGTACTACGCGGTGCGCTACTTTGACGAGCTGCAGGAGCTGACCTGGCCTGACCTGGGCACCATCCTCAGCACACTCGTGCTGGAGGTGAGGACGAGCTATCGCGAATGACGAATAACATACCTTTTAATCAGCATATGCATATGATCCCCAAGGCCAATGACACAATATGATAACGCGACTGTATACGATAACTAATGAAAGGATGGGCGGTAGCACCGTAGGCGGTGGTCAATGGTCATGCTTGTCCTCCCCGTTACTAACGCTACCACAAAACTTGCAAAAAAGCTAGGCAAACAGAAAGGATGAGACGTGATTGAACTCTAGCAGGCTACCATCAATAGTAAAAATGAGGTTGTTCTACGCGCACACCCGACTCCAACACGCCCCACCTCTGCCCCTCAGGACGACTACAGCAGCGAGCCGGCCGTGCTCGTCACCTACACCCGTCTGGGCAGCGGCTGTCCCGAGTCGCGCCTGCTACGGTTCCGGCCCGACACCGGTCTCCTCCAGCCCGCCAGCGTGCCCCACAACTGCGGTGCGGTGAGACAGTGGATTCACCTGAGACCGGGCGGGCGCCGTCTGTTGGTGTCTGCGGCGGAGCGGCCGCCGCCCCAGTGTGCCGCGCCCCTCTCCGCTGTGTGGCGCTGGAGCAACGGTCGGGTGCAGGTGAGGGCGAGGAGGGTATCGGGGTGGAGGATGGATTGGTGCGGGTAGGTGATATATCTTTTATCTATACAGGAGGGATGGACGGATTCGGTTGAGAGACGGACGAGTACGGATGAGAAATGAACTGGTCTAGGCAGAGTGAAACCGGCCAGAGGTTCAGCTATGTCATGGTGGCGTCTGTACCCCACCCCGTGACTGACTTTCGACTGATTGTCACCCCCCCCCCCATCAGCTGAGAAAGAAGGGAGTGACTCGACCGTATCCCTACTCTACACCATCTATACGTCACCTGTACCGCATCCCTCTCTCGCCCACAGCCGTTACAGAACCTGAACATAGCCGCCAGCCAGGCGTTCTACACGGCTCCGCGGCCGGGCGCCCCGGCTCAGCTGCGGCTTCTCGACCCTGTCGGAGGAGAGCTGCACCAGCTCAGCTTCAACTCGGCCGACGGCAGCTTCGTATCGCAACCACCACAGGCCACCGATGCCGGTAAGACACAACGCAGGGCCGTGAGACCGGTCAGCACTGAGACTTTGCTGTTCATTTTGGGAGCTCGGCGAAATTACAGAAATGCTTTCCAATGAACCTATGTTTAGGTGGGGTTTCTAGCGAATGAGTTAATAGCCAGCGACATCCAAACTAATTTCTATCACACGGCTATTCGTATGTCAACGCACAAAAGTTGTTAGCCAAACTACTAGGGCTGTTCCAAAAGTAATGCCTCCTATTTTTTAACTCCGCCCAAAATGATCGGAGGAGGTTGAAATTTGCACCATTTCAGGAAGTAAGCTTTACTCGCAAGCCTTAAAATTTTCATTGTTCTTTTACAGATACTTTCAGCGTGACGCCTTGGTAAACGAAGTTCGTCATGGAAACTCGTCAGAAGCAGAGATGTGTCATTGAATTCCTTCACAAGGAAGGGAATGCATCCATCGACATCCACCGACGCCTGCGGAAGGTCTATAGAGCAGACGCGGTGGATGCGAGCACAGTTAGGAGATGGGTGCGTCGTTTTGAGAGCGGTGAAAGTGATGTCAAAGTCAGAGCTCGCTCCGGACGTCCGCGCACCGGCACACCGCCACCACCCCGGAGGACGAAGCGCGCCTCGATGGACTGATCCGTGCCGACCGCCGGATAACTCTCAATGAAATGCGAGTAGAGTTAGGTGTGAAATGCGATCCGTAACTCTTACACCTACACCCAACTCTACTCGCATTTCATTGAGAGTTATCCGGCGGTCGGCACGGATCAGTCCATCGAGGCGCGCTTCGTCCTCCGGGCTGGTGGCGGTGTGCCGGTGCGCGGACGTCCGGAGCGAGCTCTGACTTTGACATCACTTTCACCGCTCTCAAAACGACGCACCCATCTCCTAACTGTGCTCGCATCCACCGCGTCTGCTCTATAGACCTTCCGCAGGCGTCGGTGGATGTCGATGGATGCATTCCCTTCCTTGTGAAGGAATTCAATGACACATCTCTGCTTCTGACGAGTTTCCATGACGAACTTCGTTTACCAAGGCGTCACGCTGAAAGTATCTGTAAAAGAACAATGAAAATTTTAAGGCATGCGAGTAAAGGTTACGTCCTGGTATGGTGCAAATTTCAAAATCCTCCGATCATTTGGGGCGGAGTTAAAAAATAGGAGGCATTACTTTTGGAACGACCCTCGTATCTGTCTTCACCCCTTCCTGGTCTCAGGTTGATTGCGTTTTGACCTCTCCCCGTCCCACAGATCTGCTGGCGGTGCACTCCCTGTCGGACGGCTCACTACTCGTCCTCTCCGGCGAGGGCACTACAGTGGTGGCCCGCCGCCAGTCTCCCGCACACACCCACCACAGCCACCACGAGCAGACGCTGGGCGCACTGACGGCCACAGCGCTGTTCACCTTCAGTCGCCGCGGACAGACCATGTTCGCCGTGGGAGACGGCGGATGGAGCTCGCTGGTCAACAGCCCGCAGGGCGTTAAGGCAAGTAGAAACGGAGAAAGACTGGAATAAAATATATTGAAAGGAGCATGAATGAATGGCTGAATGAATGAATGAATGAATGAATGAATAAATGAATGAATCAATCAATAAATGAATGAATGAATGAATGAATGAATGAATGAATGAATGAATGAATGAATGAATGAATGAATGAATGAATGAATGAATGAATGAATGAATGAATGAATGAATGAATGAATGAATGAATGAATGAATGAATGAACGAATGGACGCATGAATGAATGGACCGAAGAGGGCTCCCGTTGCGATTGTAATTCGATCGATTGAGCCGGATAGTTACGCCTATTCTGTGCAGTGATATCACCTGACCTGAGCCTGTTATCCCGCTTTCTCCAGGTGTTTGAGTATTTCGGTAACGGCACCCACCGGTGTGTGCCGGCCCAGCACCTGGCCGCCGTCAGCCCGGCCGATCTGACAATGCTCTCAGTTGGCAGTCTGCCCGACCTCCTACTGACCGTGGTCGAACGCGACTGCGGACTGCGGCTCTTCGTCGATAAAGGCGAGTAGGGAGGTGAAGAGGGCGTGACGTGACTGAAATATTATGTCTGGAGGAAGTTCGAGGGCTGTAGAGTTATTTTTGGAACGGGATACGCAAATATATCGACGTGATGGCTTGGAGGGGAGCGACCACGGAGCGTCGAGCTTAACCCGCGCCCTGATGGGGTCTGCCGAGCAACGCGGTCTGATGGGGGGGGGGGGGCATTTTGCCCCCCCCCTAAGATCTCGAGAACCACTCAACATAGCGACAAGCGGTAAACGGCGTTGGATAGCCCCAACTGTGACCCAATTTCATTGACCTCGGTCAAACCGATGACGTCACAGGTCAGGTCAAAGGTCGAATTTTCACCGCTTACAGCCATTTCAAGAAATGCGTTGTAAAATCGAGTAAAATGCATTTCATTGAAAATCATCGATGGGGAAATGTTCTTCAAACACATATTTTGCTATTTGAGGTCACTGATACCAGGTCAGGTCACAGAGGTCAGGGCACTGGGGGGTCACAATATGAAGGTGTAGCGTGATACATGTTTTATGGTCCATTTTACATGACAAATGCGATTATGTGGGTCAGGCAGACTTTTGGGCCAGCTTAGGTCACGTTTTGGTCAAGGTCAGGTCAAGGTCAGGTCAAATTAGGTCAAATTTCAAAGTTGATATTTTTGCATAAAATGGGTATCGATTCGATGCAGCTCGTCACGGGGAGTTCAATGGTGGTCTCCGTTGTGCGCTACGAGGTCTAGAATTGCTAAAAATTGAGTTCAAAAATTTGACGTCATCAATTTTTAAGTTTTTTCGCTATAACTTGGCCAAAAAAAAAGAGGTATCGATCTAAAATTTGGTATGTATATCGAAGAACACAGGGACTATCACATATGTTCCGGTTTTTTTCGAAATTCGAATTTTTTTTGGAAATTTTGAGTTTTTCTAAAAAATCATTTTTTTTTTTATTTTTTTGGGTCAAAATCCCAAAATTTCGAAAATCCGAGATAGCAGTTTTGTAGCGCCGTCTTTTCTCTACACAACCACATAAAGAACTTTAAAATTGCTTGTTAACTGTAGAATTGGTGAGCGTTTCAAGATGTCATGTTTTTGCTCATTTTTACTCGAACATGATCTCAGTTTGACCTCAATAACTCCTGACCTGAGGTGACCTGTGACTTGAAGTTTTGTGGGAAGGTGTCAAATTGATGCCCGGTAAGGTACCCAAAACGTTTTCTCGCTATCTAAGAAAAACCACAGGGGGGGGGGGCAAAATGCCCCCCCCCCCCCATCAGGGCGCGGGTTAATGGAACGTTACTGATTATCGTGTTACTATCAGTTCGCAGCCGCCTTACTCGCGTTCGTGTCTTCCACTGCGCTCTCTAACACTTCCCCGCTCGCTGACAGGAGAGGCCGGTTTCGTCGAGTTCCAGCGCGTGGCCGTACCGGGCGCCGAGGCGGTCTCCGTGCTGTACTCCCAATCGGACTCTCCGCCCCACCTACTGGTCTCCGCCGGCCGGCGGCTGGTGCTGCTCGCCGCACGAATGACGGGAGCTCACGTGACCCCGCTCAGTGTCGACTGTTCGCCGCGCCTGCCGCCCCTAACGCACGGAGAGGGAGAGGGGCGGAGCGAGGAGAGGAGGGTAGAGGGACTGAGCGAGGACAGGAGGGTAGAGGGACGGAGCGAGGAGAGGAGGGTAGAGGGAGAGGGCAGCGTAGCGCTAGCGGTAGAATGAAGCGCTCGCTCGCCCACCGCCCACCTGGCTGTGTGATTAGCGATAGATTGTTGTCATTAGCTTGTTGAGCGCTGGGTAAACGGCGATGGATCTGCCGACGTTGTTATTGCATTGTTGAAGTTTGAAACGCTCTCGAGTCAATTTGTTATACGGAACCATTCATCTGCAGAGAATGGCTGGTAATGATCTCTTTACTTAGGCAGTTATAGTGTCGTGTCAACGTACCTAGACATTTCTGCAAGTATTTATGCTATTTATTCGTGAAATATACAACACTCGTCATTCATATGCGACGAAATATAGGCAATTATAATAATGAACAACTGTTGTGATGAGGACTGACGGCTGCACAGGACCGAACGCCACGTCAAACAAAAAGTAGAAAACGATTAAATATATTTCGATTGTATTTCCCACAATTTGCATTGGTCAGTCATGAGCGAATCAGGCACCAGCTATCAGTATCGCCTACCAATCCACAGAACATCGACTGGACAGACACCGGCACCCTCCATGTTGCTTATCACTGCAAGGTACCGATAGAAGCGGAAACTACAGACTACTCACCGGCTGGTAACTACGAGCAGAACACATGGGAAGCGACATTCCTAGTCAAGTGCGTGATAAACAGTGGTTCTTGAGTTAATCACATCTTGCATCTGCGAATGCTTCGCATTTAGCGGTCCAGGTATGTGTTACCAAAACACGATGGTGTTCTCTCCTACAAATCCATAAATCGGTATATTTTCTCCTCATCCTGGAGCCTACAAGAGCATGTAATCACGGGGGATCGGGCACCGAACTTAATCGACACTTTGTATTTTGTAAGTAGATTATGAGCACTGGCTGAACCCATAAGCACACTGCAGCTCCATAAATCACATTTGCACGGCATGGAGACGAAACCCATTTACATTATCACTTGTGCACAACACACAATAACACAACGCACACAAAACGTAACACCTATAGCACCAGATAAATATAATCTACCCGAAGTCTAGTAAATTCTCTCGAATATGTCGACATGTCGAAAAGTATCCTATTTGTTCATCTTGGCCATCTTTTTGGTGACCTCTGCAACGTCCTGATCCTCCACGTCCTGAATAACGCGCTCCTCCGCCTGTCCGGTGGCGTCGGCGGCAGAGGAGGATTTTCGGCGGGCCGACCGCCGTCTCTCCCTGTCGTCGGGACCCCGGGCCGCCGCGTCTCTCTCCTCGCGGTCCCGCAGCCACTGTTTGGCCACCTCCGGCTGAAAGGCCCGCTCACAGTGAGAACAATGGCGCAAGGAAACAGGCGTCGCTTAGAACTTCTGCGTTATTTTAGTACGCATTTTGCATCTATGGATAGCTTCTGTCGTTTATAATAAGCCCTAATTATTTTCCAAGACGAGAAGGAACTGTGTGAGTCGCAAGGAAAAGAAACGGACATATCTTATTTGAAGTTCAGCAATACAGTGGACATTTTTTTTTGTAAGGTGCCATACACGTAGTATATGCTTTTGAAATTACAAAAATCATCGATCACCTTGTAGCTGCAAAGATAGAGACGTGCATTGGGCATCGATAGCTACATATATACAAATACAAACAAAAACATGCATCTACAACAAACGGGAAGAGTCATCACACACGCCATCCACTCAAGCATATAATGCTCACAGTTCACAGCATTATAAATGAATTATCAAAGTCCAGCGAAAGAAGGCCAATTCTGTACAGCAAGCATCAATAGTAAGCATGCCACCACCGAACGAGCGTTACACGAATTCAAGATTCCCACAGCTGGGCATAAAAGTAAGGAACTACATATAAATAAGTAAAAGTATGTATCGTTCGCCAACAATTACATGTTAACCCTTCTGAGGCTACGGGAGTGGAGTCATCACGAAAGCGAGTAACGACGTGGTCAAACAAATAACCGCCGGGCGAGGTATTGAGTGAAAGGGTGAGCAGATAGACGGGATTGGCTGTAAAGATCGAGATTAAAGATTAACCGTGCACACAAGACACACGTTTAGGCATTCCAGTGGGGATTTTCGAGGAATTAACCTTCGAAACGACCTTTGGTGTTAAACTTCTGGCTAGAGCACATTACATATCAACTATGAACAACTATGCGAAAGGAGAACGATATCTTTTAATTGGGATGAGAGACGCACGGAGCATCCGCCAGTCCGCCTTACAAGTGAAGCATTGGTGCTGAGTAAAAGGGAAGAAGTTCACCTCGATTTCTTACACGCCATGCAAATAATTTTTCTTCCTCAAATAGTTGAGAGAAGAGAAACAATCTACAAGTTTGAAACGTCAACAAACCCTATAAAATCTCATCATCCCACAAGAAGCTCCGAAAATGTTTGATAATGCTTGCTACTTATGATGCATAATCAATACAGAATGTGAAGGAAGCGAAACACTAATAGACGCTAAACACTAAATTAATTTCACGGGAGTTTCTGGAGAACTTCTGCGTTTTGTAGGTACGCCGTTTACGTCACTAACTCAATAAATTTCGCTATCATCCAAGGTGAACTTTTCCCCTTTCGAAATTTGAGGACATAAAATACGAAAAGAGCAAGACGATCAGCAGGACGACAAGGCTCTGAGGGGATGCTGCCGTGCGTCTCACCGTCCAAAACCAGGAGGACCTCTTGTACTTCCACTTGACGAACACACCGGCTTCACTGAACGGCCAGATGACATGCAGGTGGATGTGCCACACAGAGATGAGTGGAGGCACATGGAACCCGATCCTGCCGACGGGATGGGACGGTCGGGTTTGGTTGGGTTAGGTCAGTACTCGGTAGTCAGTACTCACCGAGGCAAACCAGAGTCCATGGCGGAACACCATCCGCGAGAGCAGTGACATCTGGCTGGCCGGCTCGATGGCATGCAGGTGCAGGTGGGAGACCAGGTGGAACGGCGGCCAGTGGAAGCCGAGTCTGGCCAGGCCGCACAGGCACAGACACACAAAAACCAGGTAATATAGGGGCAAAGCTTTAACATCATCAGCCTCATCTCTGAATACGAGGAAAGAGCATGAAATGAAGTGTGAATCCTGCTTTATTTCTTTTAAAAGTAACATGTCTTCATCATGGCTAAAAACAGATCAGCCATTCACACCAGCTGGATGAATGACCATTGAGTGAGTGAGTAAGTGAGTGGGGAACAACTGATAAAATAGGTAGGTAGCTAATAGTAACACAACACAACATGAGTCCAGGAGGTACTTTGAGCATTATATGTAAATTAATATCAGGCCTAAATTACCAGTTTGTTACATTAAGCCTGCCATCACATATCTGAGTTAGTACCTATAAAACATACCGGACATCATTTAGGTCAGCTCCATTTTTCTCCAACAGCTGCTTGGCCACATTGACAAGGCCATCCACTGCAACAGAGACAAAACACTTTGTGAATATTAGTAGGCATACTGAACCAATTTTGTCAGCATCACTTAGTTGTGAAGATATGCCTTTTTATTAAAATACTTCTGTACAAATAATGACAGACAGTTCAGCCATGGAATCATATTTGCTAAGCATCTTAGGACTAGAGGTCAATGAATCATTGCTTTCTTGTACTGTTCCTCAATCCTCAGCTTACCGACTTCTGTTTTCCCCTGTAGTTGAGTGACATCCTGTACATGCTCATTTGTGATGATCAAAAGATGATTCTTTGAGGCTGGTCGAATGTCGCTGAATGCAGTATATTTCTGATCCTGAAATGAAACATAGATAAGTGAAATGACATGCTACAAATAATTAAATTGAACTCACGTCAAATGTTCTAAAAAGCAACAGCAAAGATGTAGCCAATTAATGCCAATACCAATACTGCCAGAATTAAACATACCACACATATGCACACAGTGCCCCTAAGAGCTTCAACATGTCCCACACATTGATCATGGAATAGCAAAGCAGACAAGCAATTTCATAAGACAAAACTAATAACATGTAAACATGAAACACAAAGACACGACCAGAGGCAGTGGATACCTTACCTTGTACAAAATTTCATTTGGTTCTCGCCCCTCAACAATTCGACAAAATACACAATCTCTCAACCGATTTGATCCGAATGGAAAACGCATTGTCTTCCTTTGCTAGAGCGACTTGGATTGAAACTCGCGCTTGCTTGCGCTGGTATCCAATGAATGCTAGCCACAAATATAAAAAGGCAACGAGATATCAATAGCTGTCGTCCAAGCTTACTAAAATAGCAAATGTTCGCGCTAGTGAATCATATATGCGGGAATTCCCATAACGCAATCCCATTATAGAGTTCAGTGCGCGCAATCCAATGGTAAACAGCGGAAGTTATTTTGTCACAGATGCGCTGAAAGAACCTCTCCATTGCTACCATATCCAGCAGACAGAGCTACCAAATATTTTTTTTTTGGGGGGGGGGGGGAAACAAAACAACGCAGACACGCAGAGTGCCGGCGCGAAGGACGTATCGCCGCGTAGACACCGTTCAGGGTTGTGCTTGACTCATGAGTCGAGTCAGAAATTTGACTCAACTCTGACTCAAATGAGTCAGATTTGAGTCGAGTCGGATAAAATGTTGAGCTGTTGAGTTGAGTCAGAGTTGAGTCGGACAAAAACATTAAGGCGTTGAGTTGAGTCAGAGTTGAGTCAGTAAAATAATTTTGACATCGAGTTGAGTCAAACAATGAGTCAGCTGACTCAACTTTCTAGAAACAAGCTTTTCATCCCCACACCCCGCTTAACAACTTTGCCCTGGCCCTGCTGCCGGAGTTTTTTTTTCACCCCCGCCCCGCTCAACAACTTTTTTATCTGAGTCAATTTTGAGTCAACTTACTTGACTCAACAAAAAAAATTGAGTCAAGTTTGAGTCGACTCATATTTTCATTGAGCCGCTTGAGTCATGAGTCGAGTCAAGGGAAAAAATCAGCTCCTTGTTTGAGTCAGAGTTGAGTCAGGGCTTTCTGAAGTTGAATGATGAGTCGAGTCGGCAAATTTTTTTGAGTCGAGCACAACCCTGACACCGTTCCTTCGTTTCCATCCTCAGTGAATCAAATCCTTCTCCTCCATGCCTCAACCTCTGATCCGGACTGGACGGGCATCTTTATCCGATGCGGGAAGCTCCGCTTATATAGGAACACGCCCGTAGCCGCTTGCGTAGCCGGGTGCGGTGAGTGTCACGGGGGCTGGGTGGGTGGTCTGTCCACTGGATGGGCTAAGCCGAAGCCCCGGCGACTCACTAAGGTGCCCGCTAAGACCAACGTCTCCCCCTAATTCCTATCATCCTTCCGGCTCTGAAATGGACTCGTCAGACCAAAAGAGCCTAACCCAGCAAAACAAACAAAACAAAATCGCCTCGTGTCATTCAAAACCCGTGGGATGGACGGCACCCACTGCCCAGCCTAACTTCAAATCTCAAGACATGCAGCCTGCATTGTACATAGCTGTCGTTTCATTTGGAATTGAGCAATTGACCATTACAAAATGCCTGGGCTCGAGCCCTAGCCTAGCAGTAATTTCGATATTTGTAACACCTACAGCTGACCTACGTACTGCGCCCAAACAATTCAGGAAGGTTTCCAAATGTATAGTGGATCGATATATGGTACTACGGATCGGTAAGGTTCACCGATTTCATATTATTGAACCGTTGGTTGCAAGTTTTTTTTTGTCGCGTTTTAAATCAAACCCATTCTATGTTTCGCTGTTGCGCGGCTTGCGTGACTATCATAAATTCCCTTCAAAGTTCAATAGCTTCAATACTTTTCGTACCTTGTCATATTTTTACTTCAGGTTATGGCTATAAAAGATTGCAGAGAAAATTCACATCTTACATTGTGCCAATGATATCGGAGAACTGACGTAACCAATCTTTTATAAGGGAGTTCATAATTAAACGAGCGTAAAATACGATATATCGCGGTCAAATTAGCAGTGCTTGGCTCATCTCACACAATGAAAAGGCAGCTGGAATGATCACTTTGCTGGTATCAAAACTTCGGAACAACGCTTCTATGAACCCGTTTGGAGCGCATCGAACGTTTCACTCATTCGAGTTAAAACTCCTCTCGCCGTAGTCGTAAACACAAACTCACTTTGTACTCTCAAGTCTCAACTGAGCTCGGACGGCGCCGGCTGACCTCCCAGCCGGTCTGCGGCGCGTTCAGCTGTCAGCTCGCGGTGTCTCGGGGCCGGGCCGAGCGGGCGAACTGCACCACCATCGGCTTGTCACGCAGTATGAAGCCGTGGGTGTCGGTCAGCGCTCGCTCGGCAGCCGCCGGACTCGGCAGACTGATGAACGCCTGGCCCTTCATGCGACCCTCCTGCATCAGCCGGATGTCGAACCTGCCGCAGACGGATTGAAGACGGTTCACAAGCGAATCGATGGACATATACGGTAAGCTGTAACGATGCATATCGACGACCCATAGCGTGTTATCACAAAATCCGACATCACATCAAAATGTCAGCGGTATTCACTAGCGATACATTTCTGCGACGATGCTTGTATTTGTATTCCGATGAATTACATACTGATCAAAAGTTATGCATTGAACAATCTATCTGCGTGTAACATCGGCGTTGTCGTTCATTTTCCCAGTGTTTCGTTCCTTATTTCATAACATAGGCACTGCTTTCATGGTCTTACCAACCCAGTCCAGGGGGAAGGGGACACTCACGCATTCTTATGGTCCTCGTCGGTCCAGTCAATGTAGCGCCCGAACACGCGTCTGAGATCTGCGGCCACCACCCGTTTGTCCAGGTTTTTTATGTAGAGCCGCGCTGACAACTCCCCAGCCGTGTAGCGAGCAAACACGGGCAACAGCTTCCGGTCTGCGGACGAGCGTATCGGTAACGTCAGAAATCAGAAACGACAGGACGGCAAGGAACATAGCAGTTTCAGAAAAGGAATTATGCAGCATTCCTCCTAACGTTAAAAGCTGCTGTCTGACATGAAAGTGTTGACGTAAGTGTTAAACGCCACGTTGCATTAAAAATAAGATATGGTTAAGCAAATACATTTTGCTAACAAAGTCATTTGGCATACATCCACTGCTTCACTATCATAGCATTGTCGGTGTCCCGTGATGACAGGCCTAGGTGTCGGATGCATGTTTCGATTCGGTTTGAGCTCGTACCTTCTGCGCTGAGCCTGTTCTCGGCCAGCTGCCGGTCGGTGATGAACTCCGACTCCCCCTCCTCTCCCTCCTGGTCGGACCCGTCTCCCGCCTCCGTCGTCCGCACCGGGTATAGTTTGGCAAACCCGCCCTCTGCTGCCGTTCCATTTGTCGCCGGCTGAGGGGCTGGTGTCTCCGCCGGCAGCCTTAGCACGGGTTTCCGAGCGGGCGCCACCGTCACGCGCTCCTCAAACACCTCAGAGAGTGGCACGGAGGCGGTGACAGGGGCGGCCGGGGTCGCGGCGGCGGCGGTGCGGCGCTGCAGGCGGGCAGCTCTCAGCCGTTTCGCGGTGTCCGGCAGCCGGTCCAGCCGCTGCCGCTTGGCCGGAGGTCGTGTGGCTGCCTCACCGTCACTGGTCCACTCAGACTCATCAGAGTCAGAGTCAGAGTGGCCGGGTTCCGTCTGCACCTCTGCGTCACGCGTCTCCGCTGACGCAGGCGGCAGGGATGGAGGTGGGGGAGGAGGGATATCACGCGGCGCGGGCATCTCGGCCGCCGCCGCTGCGGCCGGCGGAACCGGCGTCCTCACCACCGAGCTGGCGAACGGCGCCGGCAGCGACAGTTTGTTCATCAGGTGCAACACCTGGGTGTAGAAGCGCGGCGAGGAGCGGAGAGCAGCGCAGATCCGCGCCAGAGTGTCGGCCGTCGGCGGCGGGTAGGAGTAGCGCAGCAGCGGTGACGGGAATGGGAACGAGGACAGTCGCTCAGCACAGCTGGGCACGGCACGAGCATCTCCTGATTTGGTGTCATCCTCACTGCAACTGTAACACAAGGAAATTCGATCTTGCTGTAAATGAGATACATGTTTTGCATGACAATAAGTAACTTTCACTAGCCCTCAGTCATAGGGAGTCAGCAGGATCAGTGTAACTACTTCCACATTTTCCAGCATTTATGTGGGGATACTGCACACCAGCACATTGATGCAATCTACTTACATGCCCTTCAGGGTCATATCATCACTTGCATATTCCACAATGAGTCTTGACCCAGCCAATTTTGCTTGGTGAAGTTCCCGCAGAGCATGTTGAGCAGCAGCAACAGAAGAAAACCTGTACAAGGACAGGGCAGGTGGTTATTATTGGCACAGTTAGCCATGTGTTTTCACAATTTGATGTGCAAAAACATAATGCTGAAATGATTTTAAAAAGAGAGCACATATTACAAGCATATTACACACAATGGTTAAGAAGTTATTGAACCTGAGCAGTTAACAACAAATTTTACAGGCATTAAATCATGACCAGCAAAATCAATAACGCATGCTAATATTTTTTTTTGAGAAAATGTCACAAGCTCCAATCCAGATATTGTTATATTTTCTTACCTGGCAAATATTGCCTTTTTCTTTCTACACTTTTTAAAGACATGAACCTCACTTGCATGGAAATGTTTCAACAAATCTTGACTTTCCTGTTGTGTAAGAACAGTTGGTAGATTTGATATTACTAAAGAAGACGTCATGTTATATAGATGTCAGTCTCCCTGCTGTCAAACAGTAATGGTGATCATAAGTAAAGATGCAATCTTTAAGAACCACACAAAGTGGCAAAAAGGTGACGGAGTACCAATGAAATACAATTAAGGCCTAGCAAAGCCAACAAAGGAACCTACCTACTGCATGAGTCACTAGTCAGATAATTATTTGGAGTGAAAGGGAGAGAAGGTACGTACATTTTCCCCTTCTCTTCTGCAGTGTAAAGAAAAAAAATTGTTTTTATCACAGGACACAGCTCACTTCAAATGCAAACCAAACCAACTTGTGATAAGGTAGATAATGAAAAATCTAGTTTATTAATTAGCATTGGAGAGCCTTTTTGCAAAAAATCTTTCCCGAGGCATCCTAAGCCATTTTTCTGGATCTCAATCTTTATCTGCAGCTTTCCCATCGGACGACGGTGAAAAGAGGGCACCTGGGGCGATTTGATCAAGGCTCGTGAAATTCACACGTGAGGTTTAGCATGTAGAAGGCCCACGGAGGAGGAGAAGCTTCAAATGTCACTTGACTAATATGCCCTCTGGCGCCCTGTTTTCCAGGGTAGGTATATAGAACAACCTGTTTTCGCCGGCGTCCTTCCCATTCCTTCACAACTCAACCTTCTCCGAAAATGGATGTCCCAGAAAGAGAAATTAACAGTGGAGTTTTCTTCTGCCACATGGCTTCAATCGCAATGAGATTCAACTTTTAAAAATTAATTGTTTGACCCAGTACTTATCTCTGATGGCGAGACGCCACATGACTATTTCAATTTTTGCATGAGAATACAGTTAAACCACATCACATACTGCAAAAAAGAGAAAAAAGGTGAACATAACAGTTCGCGGCTGGTTTTCATAGGTCAGTTGGGCAAACTACGGGGAGGTAATCAAGAACTTGATTAATCAAGTTCATGATTATTTTATGCCCATATTTGGTCATGTTTGCAGCCCGTCACGAAAACGGCCGAATCTCGATTCAGGGTCTACGGAGATGCACGAAAATTTTAAGACCGATAGAGAAGAAGTCACTCTACAAGTGTAATCTTTGAATGATTCAAGTTGAAAATCGTGAGGCGGTAGATTGCAACCAAAACGTAATCAACAACTTGATTACGAGGCGTCGTCCCGGGAGTCCGATGATCAACTTCTTGATTACGCAGCCAGCTGGCTAATCATGATCTTGATTTCGCATTCAGCTGGCTAATCACGATTTTGATCGCGCTGATCGTGCTACTGGCGACCGTTGAACAATGCAGCTAATTAAAAGATACAATGGTAATGGTGTATATAATAGACAAAATCAATCAGTTTTGGTGGGATGGAATTTATGTTGCAGTTAATGTTTCTCATGAATGACTTGACCGAGCCTGTTCAAATTTTGTGTGTGGCTGGAAGCGGATTAGCTATAAGCTTTGGACGAATCGGGGATAGGATATATTTGCACACGCGCACCTTATTTCTGTATCTCCGGAACGGCGTCACCGATTGTTTTTCAATTTTGGTGGGTGGCTAGAGACTCAATAGCTGTAAGCTTTAGACGAGTTAGGGATGTGGCACACACATGTGAACTTGTGCACGAGCACACCTCTTCTCGCGCTTGCTCGCTCACATTGCCGAACACGGAGCTGAAAAAAGACCACCCCGAGCAAGAACACCGCTGTCCGCGATAAGCGGCCTGACCATAAGTCAGCTCAAATGATAATCTGCATACGACCGTCGACCACATATATTGGACGAATAGCGTCACAACCCAGAGCCCGTGTAACCAAGCACAGATCAAAGATATATTTCAAGAAATGTGTATTTATAGTCCTGCCAGTGGAAGGCTCAAAGAATTGGCAAACGCTTCCGACACCCCGCAGCGGCATGCTCTACGGGGATCTCACTCCACTTGCTTCACGGTCGCAATGGCCGCCGCTGATGGCGGCACATCGGCCTTCACCCCACCAAACACTTTGGTTCTCAGAAACCAATTCAGATTGACCATGTCTTTAGGAGTTTTGATGTTAAAAATCCAAAAGGTGGCCTGCCACAGCAGGAATGCTTGGTCTGGTGGCGCCGATACCACCTCCTGGGCCTCGACGAATACCGCGTCTTCCCCGCCCAGCTCTCCATTCACGATTATGGGATGGAAAGTTTTGCGGGCCTCCGTTGGCTTCCGTCGTTTCTTGGAGAATGCGATGCAGGTTCTCCAGCTCATCCCCTGCAAAATGTTCATAACCAAATTATAGGTACACTTAACATTGCGTGGGAGAAAATGGAGGAGAAAGAATAGGAGAGAAGGAGGGAAAGAGTAAAGGGGAGAGAGAGAGAGAGAGAGAGAGAGAGAGAGAGAGAGAGAGAGAGAGAGAGAGAGAGAGAGAGAGAGGGAGGGAGAGAGGGAGGGAGGGAGGGAGGGGAGGGGAGGGGAGAGAGGAGAGGAGACACGAGGAGAGGAGAGGGGAGGGAGTGAGGAAGGAAGCAAGGAAAGATGGAAGGAAGAAATGATGGAGGAGAGGTAGGCGGATGTAACAAGGCAAACAAGACAAGACATGGACCTGATGAGTTGGCGCAGGGCACTGATAGGTACTACATTTTGGCACATGATGTGAAAATAATGTACAATGCCTCAGACTCAGCAGTTTGGAAAATGTAGGTACAAATTACACATGCATTAGTGAAGAAGTTTCTGCATTTAGATTAGAATAAATTGTTTTGAAAACATTAGACAATGCCTGTATCTTGAAAAAGGATTAGATTGGGCTGTGTCAGGACAAAACTGGGGATGAGTCATGTGAGCTCGCAAAGTTCTCAAGTTGTGCCAGGCAACTTCATGAGATTACACTAAAGGAGCTCCAGCGAATTATTTTCAGCATGCCCAGCTTGAGTGTGCAAAATGTACACTGGACTGGACCACTGTAGTGTCTGAACGTGATGCACAAAACTGAACGTGACACACCAGCGACAAAACAAAACACTACAACCATCTATTGCAAAAACAATTCATACATACCTGCAGCTGTGTGTCCCTGCATCCTGGCCTGCTGTCTTGCATGAGCGATGCACATAATACAAATGTAGCTGTACTTAGTCCGCTTAATTCCAAAGAAATTCATCATATCATTTTTTGATTGAGCGTTCCTCAACGTGAGACCATAGGTACCATTATCACGAGCTTCCTGAACAATACTGTGGTGACGGCGACGCTTACTGCTACAGCGAGGAGGTGGTGCTTTGATGAGCTGTGGAAAAACAGACACATTTGCAGTCACCACTTCTATTATTATTCTATGAATCCATGACAAAGCCACTTAGAATGCAAGTATGAATAACCTAGCATAAGCCCAAATTTAACTTTTCATTAAAAACTAGAAGATATATCCTATTGGTCCCTGCTTGCACAGACAATTGACTGAATAAATGATATGGCCACACTGCAAACTTTCGCACAACCTGCCAGGCCATAACATTTCTAGCTACTGTGGGCAGTTAAATGTGCCTCTCTAATCAACAATTGCCCCAAACAACAAAATAGGCCTATTATTTACTTTAAAATAAACTATAACCCTGTAAATAGCAATACATTTCGTAAATAATTAAAATATTATACCGCGGAAAGCATGCGCCATGATAGCCTACAAAGTCATCATAAATTCTATCGCGATATTTCAACATTTATACCGACGCACATGAAGGTTGAGGCTATTCAAATTTACAAACATGATCTAAATTATTTAAAAAATGCTAATTTTACCTATAAGAACCAAATTACCAATAATTCGGCGCCAATTTCCGGCCTCACCCACACACCGACAACACGACAAATGGCGGCGTGCTAATAGGCGACGGTGCCTTTTCGAAGAAATCTTTATTACGACCAATTTAAGACGTGTGTAAAATGAATGTTCAATGATTTATTTTTAAATTAGAAACGTAAAAATGTGGATAAAAGAATAATATCCGCCTAAAAAGGGCTTTAAAAAATATCACTTTTCTGAAAAAGTTAGGCTAGCAGTTTATCTTTCGCCATATGAGCTAAAGTACATATCCCACTGCTACCGGTCCATATCATTTCGGGAGAATAGAATATTGCGTTTCACCTGGTAAAAAATCGTGTCGATATGGACATTATAACAATCGAAACGAAACACTTGAATAGTTCGGTGCACGAAAAGTAATCAAAATCTTGATTACAACTCCTTATATGGTCATGCCACGCCCCATTTTCATGACGTCATAATCATGAACTTGATTAATCAAGTTCGTGATTACCTCCCCGTAGTTTGCCCAACTGAGGTTCATCAGTGGTAAAAAATCACATGAGCGCAGGTAATAAAATAATAAAAAGGACCTATCTAGACAAGTCCAACAATTACAACCAAATTACAACAGACAAAAATCACACGCGGGTACACCACTATCGAATTTGTCGCGTCAGATCTGTCACAAGAAATGAAAACAAAAGAGTACAGTCTCTACTCGGATCTCTTTACATAATTTATGGACGCGTGTATATCACACCACGGTGAGATTTACATAATGCATCGCACTGTAGTGTAAACCTCACCCGGGTGTGATTTACACAATACACTACTCCTGTGTATATCACACCACGCGGAGTGTGATTTACACAGTGGGCCGGCAATGCGTAAATCACACCGGGGTGTGATATACACAATGTGCTCCTAGTGTGTAAATCACACCCGGGTGTCAGACCACGCAGCACCTGGGTGTGATTTACACAGTAGGCCCGGCAAATGCGTAAATCACACCGTGGTGTGGTATACACAATGTGCTCCTAGTGTGTAAATCACACCTGGGTGTCAAACCACGCAGCACCTGGGTGTGATTTACACAGTAGGCCTAGCCAATGTGTAAATCTCACCAGGGTGTGATATACACTGTGTGCTCGGTAGTGGGTAAATCACACCTGGGTGTCAAACCACGCAGCACCTGGGTGAGATTTACACAGTAGGCACGGTAACAAGACACTTAACCAAACCTTAGACCTGACCTGACCTAACCTAACCTAACCTAACCTAACCTAACCTAACCTGACCTACTGATTTTTGCCTACCCGTGGATGAGGAAGAAGGTACTCGCATGAAGAGATTGCAAGCAATGGTAAGTCAAATATTTTTAGGTTAAGTGGTTGTGCATCAGGCTTCAGGCCTTCGGCCTGAAGCCAGATACACAACCACTTAACCTAAAAATATTTGACTTACCATTGCCTGTAATCTCTCCTAAGGCATTGCCTTCGGCACTGCACCGCTTCGCCACGAGCATTCAGACGTCGCTTTCCATATTGTATTGGTGCTTTTAAACTTGTCGGTCGGCAGCGAACCCACCGCTACCAAGGAAAAGCGAAAATGCGGGAAAAAGCGCCCGCACCGACGGGACTCGAACCCGCAACATTCGTATCATGGTGCAAGCACCTTCACCACTAGGCCAGGCGGTGGGCAGATTCCGAGAGAGAGGACGCCCGGAATCCCGCCGGAATATTCGTAGTGCTTAGTCTGATCTGACCAATGGGCGAGCAGAGTCACTGCTCTGACCAATGGACGTTCAGCGTTGCTATGACGTCACATCGTGGTGAGATATACACACAGCTGCCCTCTCTGTGTATTCCTCACCCAGGTGTGATTTACACTACGTAGTAGATTTTGTGTATATCACACCGGGGTGGGTGTGATTTACACAAATGGCCGGTATTGTGTAAATCTCACCGTGGTGTGATATACACGGTCCCATAATTTATATTTTGATCGTTTGATTTTCAAGATGAATTTTTCATTTAATCAAAATATCTAATGAAATTAACATTATTCTTTAATGTCATAAGTGAGCTTAGGAGGTAAGACAAACAAAAGGTATGAAAAATTATTTTCAAGGCTGTACCAACGCTGGGAATCGCCCCGGGCCACAAACAAATGCACATGTGCTCCAGCAGCTGATCGGGGGAACTGCGCCGCTGCCCATGCGCCGTGGCTTGCGAGGCGCGAGGACCCACAACAAAGACGGCTGCGGGTCAGTCGCGAGTGCAGGGTGAGGGAGGTGGGTAGTCATGCCTTTCCTGTCGCGAGATTGGCGTTCGCCTGGGGAGGAGTGGGTGAAGACTGAAGAAGGATGGGAACAAAAGAAAATATTGGAATGCGGAAACTCTCCGCCAAGGTCACTGAATTCGTCGCTTGATGAAGAGGACAAAGACGGGTCAACAGACTCACCGTCCAGGTCAGATCTTTGGGTATTATGCATGCAATGCATTGAAATATCGGGTATTATGCAGGATGCTATAGTCCGCGTAGCCGCCGTTGCAAATTACAGTGTCGGCCGTTGAGTCGAGGCAGAGCGCGTATCGTACTTCGTCCTAAATATTGATCATCGTATGACCTTGGCGTCAGCTGACATTTGTTGACGTCCGCCGTTGATGTGGTAGTGGATCAAATGTGAATTGTGGAACGTAGAAGGTGGACGCTAATAGTCATTCGTCAGTCTAACCCTTGTGGTTCTTGTTTTACGGCGCCTTTCGACGTTTCCCCGTGAGTTGCCAATCAAAACAACCGACATGAAAGCCTTCTCACCGACATGAACATATTGAACATGCTCTATTTGATAGCTGCGATGATAGCTGTGATCGACTTCGTGTTTCCTTTGATCATACGTGTAATAATCCCTCGCGGATCAAGATCCCTCGCATCAACCCTTCGTGGTCTTTTAAGTCAACAGTCCGCACTAGTGTGTAGCATTAAATTTGACATCCTTTGAGGCATGCCGAATGTAATGCATGTGTACTGTTTTCCGAATTTCGATTACCATTATCTGAACGCCTGGTGCGACATTTCATCTGGGGGGTGTGCTCCGCCCGCCGTGCGCCTGCTCTGCAACCACGCCGAGCAGTCGCTCCTTTCACTGGGATGGTTCTCCCAGCTCCGTGGTGAGTCCAGGAGCTGTCGCGGTGAAGCCGAACCACAGAGCTGAGAGCAGCCATCCCGCCTGGCCACGGAACGCAGCGGAGCGAAGCACGGCCGTCAGAGGTGTTTGGCAACGGTGCGGGTTTCTCAGAGCGTCTGTCGTCAAATGCAGCCGCAGCCCTCTCCCGGCATGTTACGGCAGTCGTCAGTGCGTTTCACTGATACGGTTTCGGTCGGGTTGACATTGGACAGCGTTCGCTGATTTGCTGCGGCTTCAATCACGGCCGGTGTTTTTGTTTTGTCATTTTCCATCCGTCGTTTTAGGGCTGAAGCCGTTCTCCTGCCCGTCTCTCGCGAGACGTTGCCGATGTTTTCGTCTTTGCGTGTCGTCGGTGGGCGGCCGACGGCGGCGTGTCGGCGGCGTCTGACCTCGAGCCGCGCGGCCGGATCGATCCTGGCCGTGTCGGCGGTGGCCGACTCGGGGAGTGGCAGAGCGTCCATCGATCCCCGTGCACTGCCGGCGCAGGTCAGCAGGACCCTCTCCGCCACCGGCTGCCAAAGGGTGCTCGAGAGGAGCGTCAATCATCGGAAGTGATGCAATTAGGGCTTCCAGTGAGGGATTAGGGCTCCTCCAGTCTGTCAATGCAGGCCTACCTCACAATGTTGTCGAGTAATGGTGCATGGGAAGCTGGGTGCGCTTGTTGTTACTTTCTACAGTAACCTTGAGCTTCGTTGGGAAGACTGTGGGAAATTATCACTTATCATGTGTCAGGAACAACTGACCTGCATGTCGCTTGAGTAACTTCATTGTTGCTTGGAGACTGATATCTAGGGTGATTTAGACGGCGCAGGACACGTCCCAGCGCGTTCCGCACTACGTCTGTCGGCCTGTGGCGTGCTCTCTGGTTCCGCTCGTCGACCCGCGACCGTCAACAGCCGGGGCCGCCGACCTACGCCGCTCCGTATGATCCCCTCCCCTACCCATCCCCTCCTACATGACCCATCACTCCAGCGCGAACGCTGAGCTTGCCAAGCGGCCGTACCGCGTCATACGTGCACTGCATGATCGGGACTGATCTACGCAGTTGACCGTGTAGCTATCCGGGGCGGTTTCTGTTATGATTGAAACTGAGGCTGCTCCCCAGTGGCGCAGTAATCAGAAACATCCCAGCCTGCGGCCGCTTGGTGCCCACTCTGCAATAACTGGAGCCGCCTCTGGCCGCCGAAGCATGGTCTCTTTGTGTGCCGGCGCCTGCCGCTGGGCCCATGATCGGCAGCGTGGCACTCTGCAGTGAGCCGGTCCGGTGCGGGTCCGGCCTCCCCTCCCCTCCCCTCCCTCCCGGAGACTGTGCATTAACGAGTCGGAGCACATCACGCCCTCACGGCCACGCGCCGTGTGCGGTGTTTGTGGTGACGTCATCGGCAGGAAGACGCCGCGCCGTGCAGGCACGCTGTTGTTGCCGCCCTGGGGACGCCACTGCCTGACTCAGCCGCGTGGGTGTCCACCGTGCAAACTACGTGCAACTGTAGGTACCGAGCCCGTGGAAATCATTCAATCGGCACCGTACTGTGTGCTGAGTTGGAAGCGGTCGTCGTCTTTCGTGACATCATGCCGATGGATTCTTTGTTCTCTCGGGATGAATGTTGTAGTCACATTTTCGCTTATATGTACTTTCTATCATGAAATGATCTAATCGTCCATTATGTTAAAAATAGCTACGCGACGCACTGTCAGTTGTCACTATCAACCGTGGAAGCTATAAAGCTTGTTAAGTTTGAAGTGGATACTGGAAGGATACTGCATTCAAGATTACTTTACTTATAACTGCATTTACCAGTTAGATTCCTTCTATAACGTATACTGCATTCATTTCTAAATGCAATGCACTTGCTCGCCGGTGCATTCGCCATCTGCGGTATTCCGCCGGTAAACGGTTGCTGGTTAGGACGAGACTTCTACCGACACTGGCTCCTCCGACCGAGGTGCTCCATTCGTGACGTGCGGCGCTCCCCTGCTTGAGAGATAGCCATGTCGAACGGGACGGTGTCACGGGCGAGTTGAAGTGATCCGAGACAATGGCCGACCGGTAGTACTGCGGGCTATCTGATCTTACCTCGGGTTTGTCGACGTTTCGTTTTTTTTTTGCCATTGGTTTTGTGTCTGAACGGCCTTGCACTTTCATTCATTGAGCGTCACGATTCACTGTCATCGAGCTTTTTGCAGACTGTGAATTGTGAAAGCTTTTGTTTTATATTGTTGAGGTTGAGTTGACCACTTGGAAAGTGATCAAGTCTTATGTTGCCAGAAAGCTTACAGACCGGAACGTGGTCCACGAATGACGAAAATGAAATTCCGTCTCCAACTTTCGTATGTTTTC